GCTCGTACTTATTCGGCACAAGGAAAAAAAATATTGGAAACCGCCCAGATATACTCCAGTGGGCAGTAGCTGGCTATATGATGAGTCTGATCTCAGTCTCACGCTGACTGACAAGCAGCACTTATTCGAGCAAAGGAAAAGCACTGATCAGCAACCACCAATCAGCAGCTCGGTACTTCGTCATGATCGCTTCAGTACTTGGGCCTCCCGGCCAGCATGAACGCCTTGAGCACGAGCTTCCTGGGCACGGTGGGCGGGCCGCCCCACTCCTCCACACGCTTCAGCGCATCCCTCGTGACCGCCTCCAGGTCCACGCCCTTTTGACTTCGCCGTGGTCACGATAGAGCCGGTGTTCAGGGATATTTAACTTTTTACCATCGTAACGGACTACGACTCCTCATATATTATTTTAAGGATTGATAATATGTTTTTAACAGCAGAGAGAAAATCGATACACATTTGCCACTTTTGCTTATGTGGCACACCAGCACCACAGTTCATCTTAAATCCGAGTCAGCAGCCTCAGGTAAAATGACCACTCCTGCCCCTGGCTTTTCTATTCTCCCCTCTCCCTCCCCATCACTGACATGCGGGCCCCGCAAGTCAGATTCTCCTTCAACCTTCAACCATCACCACGCAGCCATGGGAGGGGATGAGCTCGCCACGCCGCGCGCGCGCGCGTCGCCACCGTCAACGGCGACACGCATGCTTTCGCCGCTGCTTCGCTTCGCCGCTGGCCATGAACCACGGAGAGCCCCGCGCCCTCGACGGCGTGGTGCGCCTCGAACTCGAGCCTCGTCGGCGTCGTCCCCACAGTACGTGGTGCCGGCGCTCGGGGTCGACCACAAACCCGTCGAGGACACGGCGGGGGCCGTAGAGATGTTGCGCTCCAACCGGATGCTCGACATCGCCGCCATTGACAGCCGTGCGTCGCCGACTTATGCGGCCTCGACGTCCCCACGCACGGGCTCTAGGTCCTGGAACGTCACGCGTTTCCTGCTCCTCTTCAGGACGCCATCGCCCATCGTGTTGCCTGAGGACGCTGACGCCCAAGACCAGCATGGTGGTCGCGCACCGGGGCGGCTCCATGATCTCGACGAACCGTACTTCGTGATTTGCTCTTAAGCCACGTCTTATACGCTCGGCCATGTTGTGCGCTCGGCCACGGGTCAGGCTCGTCCTCCGACGAAGGCGCTGCAGTTCGGATCTGGCGCACCGCCCTTCCCCGGCTCCGACGGGCGCGACCGGCTCCAGCGGGGCGAAGCGTCCTCCAGCGTGTAGTCGGTGACAGTGGCCGCGAGGATGACCGGTTGCGCTTGCTGCAGCAGCCACTCGATGGTCTTGCCGTTGGACTTATGGATGAGCTCGCGCTCATCCTTCCGGAACGCCTTCGAGCACGTGTGCCCTAGGGTGGCCTCGCTACCAACGCGGCGGCCACGTGCGCCGCGAAGCTGGCGGACGTGACGACCTCGGTGAGGGGTACGTCGACGAGGGTGTCCCGGTCCCCAGGGCTGCAGAGCGGCAGGGCGTAGCCGGGATGCTCCGCCGTGGGCTTCCGGAGTAGGCCGACTGTAGATAGCGTCGAAGACGGCGGGGCGACGAGCAGAAGCACGAACGCCGCCACGGTGCGGAAGATCATGGCTTTGAGGAGCCCCTCGCCGACCTCGTACGAGCGTGCCGAACGCTGGCCTGAATCGTCGTGCTCTGCTCTTAACCATGACATCTTGATGACGTCATATGCATTCTTTTTCCCTTTCAAAATTAAAGAAGAAATGTCTTGAAAATACAAGTTTACATATATCAGCCATCAGCTATCCTAAGCCGTCCATTCTTTAATCTGTGCCCTAGGCAAAAGTAAGAGGGGAAGGACAATATGGTCTTTTCGCATTGGCGGATGACTCAGCGCCATCGTGGCTTGCGTGCGTGGCATGCCACGGGATCAAAAATGGTATTTTTATAGCTTGTTTCTCTCTCTACTATTAAAATCGTATTGTCAGTCATAAAAGTGCTATCCGAGGAGTCGATGTTTATTATAGTGGTAAAAAGTTAAATATCCCGTGTTCAGGAACCCGACCCGGTCCTCCAGCGTCATCTCCACCTCGATGTCCACGTCGGCGGGCGCGCCCTCGGCGCCCACCCCGACGGGCTCGAACGGGAACGGCAGGGCCCGGTACCGCTCCATGGCCAGCCCCGCCCGCGGGTCCTGGTACGGCCGCAGCGCCGGGTAGAGCTGGCCGTGCAGCGCGTCCTCGAACGGGTGGATCTCGTAGTTGTAACCCCACACGGCAAGCACGCCGCCGGGCTTCCTCAGGGCGCGGTTCACCACGGCGTAGAAGAGCGGGATGTCGAACCAGTGCATGGAGGTGGCCATCACCACCAGGTCCAGGGAGCCCTCGCCGCCCACCAGGGACACCAGCTCGTCCTCCGTGAGGTGCTCCGGGGTGTGGAGGTACCGCACCTTCGGGTGCGCGATGGAAAGCTTACGCTGATGGCGGCCTGGCCGGTGCCGCACCCGGCGTCCCAGGCGCGCTGGTGCCCTGCGGTGAGGCCGGCCAGCATGGAGAACCACTCCTTGGGGTACTGCGGACGCTTCTTGGCGTACGTCTCCGACGGCTTCTCGTAGAGCCCCGCCATTCTTTCTCGCTTCTCGGCTTCAATTGTCTCGGTATCCCCTGCCTTTCAAGTGCGGATTACAGGGTCTGATCTGGATGGAATTTATAGCCACAAAAGTGGTCGAAGTCGTAGCCAAATCAAAGTAGTCATATGATCCCGTTTAAAAAGAGGAACTTTGCATTATCCACTGAATCACATATATTTGACTCAAATTGCAACATCACATGGGGTCATGGGGAATCGTGTGCAGCAGCAGAAACCGTACACAACATGAGATGATTTTCCACATCGTATCAGGGCCTGTTGGGGACCGCTTATATGAGAATCGATTTTAATCTGATTAGGATTTTTTGATAAGCTGTGATTTAAAGAATATGCTATATAAACAATTGAGAGTGTTTGGCAATCCTGATTATTGTCCATAGATTGTCTGTCCTGAGTGTAAAATGACCTGTATGCCCCTGAGGCTTATGACACCTCATTTGTTCACTGAATACGAGCATCCCATTTGCCTGAACTTTTGCTGACTTCCATTTAAAATCTTCACGGACTAATAAACATGTAAAACACAAGCATTCAACATTACATTTGAAGAAAAATTCCTAACCATTTCCTAAAACACAAGCATTCAACATCTGCACAGACTATGTCCCTAACCATGCTATGCATATATAATTTCTCCATTTGCAATACAAATCAAACCTACAATCCATACATCGGTAAAGACAAGTACCTGAATAGATCTTGGACAAGGGATGGTTGAACCAGCACAAGCTTGAGACCTTCACAGAAGAAAGGTCGGAGCAGAGGAAAGGGCGACGGGGAGCACGAACGGAGCCGGCCTCCACCGAACGGAGAGATGCGTCGCCTTCAAGGAAGATGACGGGGAGAGGGCTAGCTACCAACCAAGCAGCGGGAGCGGCGCCACGAACGTCACCGACGAGCGGACAGGGCGGGGCGGCGCGACCCAAGACGACGGCGCAAACCCTAGCGCTAGAGTCGCGAGCGGAGAGAGCGGACGTGAGCGCAGACCGGGGAGCGAAGGGACAGCTGGTGGAAACAAGTCCGCGGTGGGAAAAACGCACCCCTTCGCTCACGGTGCATTTAAGATTATTTCTACCTCCCGCTCATATGAAAATCTAAAATAATTGAAGATGTTTGGGTGGGATTATCGCTTATTTTTGCCTCGATTTTGATTTTAAGCGGAAACAAACACGCCCTAGGAAAGCAGGGACAGGCTGCTCAGAGCAATCAGGTAAAAACAAGAACTACACAGGGCCCTGGTTTTAAGCACTACTTCAGCAAGGAATAGTGTTTTTCTCTCACCACAGTTCAGCATCAGCGGCAGCCAAAACTGTAGGTTGTAGAAACTTGGGTTAACGTAAGGAGATCCATCAAATCTGAAACCTGTATATCGTGGAATAACTCAATAAAGCAAATCAACGTGAGGTTGGTCAGTTGCTTACTAACTTGTCTGCCCAGATACACCTCCTGCTTGACCAATGTGTCTCCTTCGCTCTGATAGCGAACTGAGCTGTCTGAACATTACAAGATGCTTCAACAGGTACTGATGGGAACACCGAAGATGCTAAAAATGAACTAGTGCGTATAAAATGCTGAATCAACTACAAGACGCCATTTTCATCTTTATTCCAAATGTACACCGAGCAGTCAACTCTTGGCCTCATCAATGATGATGAATACATCACTACATCAGAAGTAATTTCTAATACAAGTACTCAATCAAAGATTACTACTAAATCCGTCCCAAATTATAAGACGTTTTGGCTTTTCTAGATACATTAATTTTACTATGTATCTAGACATAGTGTATATCTATGTGCATAGCAAATGCAACGTATCTTGAAAAGCCAAAACGTCTTATAATTTGGAACGGATGGAGTAGATAGTAAATACCAAGGTAATTTAATGCAAGAAAAAATCAGAACTCCTGAGTTCTGTTACGAGGGATTTAATACTGGCACAACATGGCAGGAAATCAGTTTTGATCTTGCAAAGAGTATTGCAGCTCTACACAGGTGATGAAGAATTGAAGACATCTGCTCACCAGTGCAGGTTGTAACCAGTGTGATCTGTTGCTGTAAATATAAAAGTCCTGAAGAAAAGCAGACATTGCAATTGATAACTTAGACACTAGTGTATACTGTACAGGTGATGATCTTGTATTCAAAATCTTACTTCTTAATCACCGAAAACCCTGATGGCAGCCACAAAAGATAGGCATTAGGTTACATGTGTATTAGAAAGAAGAAAATATACCTGCAGGTTACAGATGAACTCTCTTCAGCAATACATGTCCACTTGTCAGTACATCTTTGTATGTACGACAGAATCATTTGGGAGTCACTTGAACACATTACAAATTATCATCTTCTCTGCAAAATACTAGTTTCTTTTCCTGGAGAAATCTGATGATGCAGCTTTGAACCCTCAGGAGTTCCCAGTGGCGCACCCATGCAGGAACAGTTATCAACTGTATAGAGCTCCCATTTCTTTATAGCACACTTCTCTAAAGCAGAGGCCAATCTTGGGTCTTCCACATCAGGATAAGACCCATCTGGAGTAACAAGCACTGCTCCAGTGTATGATAGCCCAGCAGCCTGTGCTGCACCATGATAATGGAACAGACCCCAGCTGAAATCCTCCGCAACGTCAACAATTGTCCAAAATTCTTTGGAAATGACACCATTATCCAACACACTGAAGTAAAATGTACCAGGAGTGCTAGCCCTTCTCACACGATACCTCCTGCGCCTCCAAACCAGCTCTCCTTCCAGGGTTTTGACCTGAAAAACCGGCTCATACCAAAATGAACCTTTGGCTTTCCCTCTGTAGAATAACTGATACTGACATGGGAACTGATCATATGCTGGATTTTGTCCAGCTGCCACTCGCCAACTCCATTCCATGCTGTCCAACCAACCAACAAATAGATCTTCTGCGATTTCATGGCTTAGTTTTTGTTCTCTGAACATGGTTAGTGGCATTACATTCGGTTTACTGGGTATCTCAGCATTGAGGTCAAGGCAATTGTTCTTCTGCAAAACACAGAGGGAAAAGGCCTCCAGATACGGACTTTCATATGATGCAATACAGCGATAGTTGCAGACTTGATCAGTCGGAGAACAGGAATTCAAACACTGAAGGGCCTTCCTACAGTTAAGGTCAAACAGACAATTAAGTATCTGAGGACCACAGTTCTTTATCATACAACTTAGGGTAGAAAGACCTTTTGCCCTTAGATTTTTCAGCATAGAAACCGGCCTTATGTATGCATTTACGACAACAAGCAAGCAAAATCTAATGTCATCTGAATTGTGTCTTTCCCAAGCATTAGATATGGTCTTCAAAACTTCAGCTGATTCCTTTACACCACTTGGTTTCCCAATACTTGCTAGCTTTCCAAACATGTCCTGCTCTCCAGTGTATTGAACATATGTGCCACCTAGCTTGTTTACTAAAGATGGAGATGACTGAAAGCAAATTACATTAGAAATGTGTTTGCTGTTGTTTATAAGCCATTGAACAGCATCCTGGTTTGTTATTGCAACATTGAGTAGCATATCACATTGTGACAGTAACTCTTTCCTAAGATTATCATGATCAATCAAGTTGTCTGTGAAGACAAGCATTTCAAATCCTTCATCGACCCACTTCAGCCTATCTGCCTAAAAGAAACAAGCCAATAAATGCATGTTGAAGGAAGGAAACTGATATAATCAAATTATAGGTATTAAAAAGTGAACATTAAACCGATTCATTTCCTCTTCAGAACACTTATTTCTCAAAGTGTATTATATTGGTATAAGCATGTAAAATACAGAATGAAAACGTGAAGCACAAAATAACTTCATCAAAACATCAGTAAACCCAGGTAAGAAATGCAGTGCACATACGAGAGTGTGATCCGATAGGTTGACCAAACCGTTTAATTGAGAAAATAAGACTACCAATCGATGCAAAGATTATAGATATTGTTACTCCAGCAGCAATGCTGAAAAGGAAAAATCGGTTTCTTTACAGATAATCACAGATACTACTAGTTGGACGAACAAAACTGTAAGTATCATCAGTCTAGAAGATACTAAAATCCTAGCATGAGCAGAACAAACTCGAATATCCGGCTATTCCAAATTAATACACACAGTGAGCGTACCGTGTGGCGCATGACCTCTTCCCAGGGCGTATCCTTAATCGGGCTGATGCTACCTTCTCCAACCACGGCGACGATTCGTACGGTTGCCACTGGAGACGTGGCATGGCCAGCAACGTCGTCGCCCCTTGGCTCCGCGGGAACCGCGGGCGGTGGGCCGGGAGAGCATGAACAGGCCACGTTACAGCCACCGCGCCAGCGGAAAGTGGCAGTGCGAGGCGGGGAGAGCACTGGAGATGCTCCAGGGAGGCCGCGCCGGGAGAGATGGAGAAGGCAAAGAAGCGGCGGTGGCGGAAGCGGAGGCGGAGGAGGGGAGAGCGGTCGCCATGGAAGGACGTGGGCGTGGGCGTGGGCGTGGCCGCGTCGCAGCCGTGGCAGAAGCAGGCGGCTGGGCCTCGAGCCTTCGAGTTCGAGGACCTTTCTTCCTTCCTGGTTTCCGGGCAGGATCGTTACGATGAAAAATGGACGGTCAAGATAAATCCTAAGGGCTCGTTCGGTTAACAGTGAATCCTGCTCTGGATTCGTTCCTGCTAGATTGGTTGTCAAATTTATATAAGTTTTGAGCAGTTGGAATAATTTCGGGTGTATTCCTAATCAATCGAACGGACCCTAACGAAAAATTGTAGGCGGTCTAGTTTTGCAAAAAATGAAGGGGGAATTTTTTGGGTGCTATTAAAAAATATCGTAATACCCTCGTGTGTCTTTGAAAAATTTAGCGGTTTTCAGTGCTACTGCTTCAACTTTTTTATGCCCTCCATGCCACTGCCGTCAGTTTGGGTCTCTAACGCCGTCAAACTGCAGGTGTGAAAAGATGAAAATACCCTTAAGTCTATATATGCCATTAATTTTTTTTAGCATCTTAACGACTTGTTTTGAGTTTTTAATTTGAAGTCGTTGTCGAGGTCTACAATTTTTTAGTTTTGAGTTTTTTCATTTGAAGTCGTTAAGATGCTAAAAAAATTTAATGACATATATAGATTTAAGGGTATTTTCGTCTTTTCGCACGTACAGTTTGACGGCGTTTGAGCCCAAACTAACGACAGTGGCATGAAAGGCATAAAAAAGTTAAAGCAGTAGCGCTGAAGATCGCTAAACTTTTCCAAAGACACATATGACATTGCGATCTTTTTTAATGGCACGAGGAATTCCCCAAAAATGAAACAAAAGAATTCCAAAAGTCCCGCCCGATAATGCAGTTTTCCTCTCCCCATTCGATCGTGAGACCGCACGAAATCTCTAATCCGCCGCCTCCAAATTGAAATCTCTCTCCCGGCTCGCCATCTCCTCTCCACTCGAGAACCCGCCATCGCCATGGAGACGAGACTCTTCCTCGCCCTCCAGTGCGTGCAGTGCGCCACCATGCAGGTGCGCAACTTGCGCCGCTGCCGCAGCCGAACCTCTGCGCAAAAACCCCATTCCAACTGACCCGGTCCGTTTCTCGGATTCGCTTTGGTCTCAGGTGAAGCAGCAGAAGAAGAGCAACAACAAGTGGGTCTGCGTGGTGTGCAACCAGCGCCAGTCCGTGCTCCACGTCCACGCCCGGGGCTACCGCGCTGCCGATCTCCGCCGCTTCGTCCAGGACGCCAACCTTGCCCGCGGCCGCCGGGAGTTCGCGCCGTTGGCCGAGCCCGACGTGGGCTGGGATCCGGCGGCGGTTGAGGAGCAGGGAGATGTGCTCCCCATCGAGAAGAGGCAGACGGAGTGGTCCGAGTATCTGGACGATCTGGGGGAGCCGGGTAATGGTTGTGGTGGCCTGGGCGCCGATGCTTCAGATGGAGGTATGCTCGGCATACGACATGTGTTCGATGTAACGCCGCAGTTCACATTTCAAATTCTGTGTGTTCTGTTGACAAATGTTTTTTATGGGATTGAGAGCGGATGTTCTATTGGATGATTCATCTTGTGCAACTACTGTGGTTATTTGGTCCACTGCAGTGCAATTGAGTTTGTGGGGTTATTGTCCCTAAATCTTTAAAAAACCATTACAGTTACATGTTTATTTGGTAAGATAATGTGGCTGTGGCTTTGTAGAGCCAGTTGCAAACTTGTATTATACAATCGTGGTTCAAAGGCTGAACTGAGGTCTCACTAAGCTGAAACAACATACTTGTCTTTTTTTTTATGAAACAACATACTTGTATCGTTAGTGAGTAAGGTTTTGCAGTCTTATATGTATTGAATTATTGGAGCAAGCCATATAAACTATTGTTATCATTATCATGAAGATGGCACTTCTAAATGTTTTCAATTATGAGGTGTAGGGACCTTCTGTCTTACCTTACATCCTTTTGACGTCATTAAATCAAGTGTCCATGTTTGTATGGCTAGGTCATCAACTCATCATTGTCCAGGAAACCAGACGGTAGTCCAAGTTTCTAAGACAGTAACCTCACTCCCACATCTAATTGTTCGATAGAAATTACTCACATCTGCCATTATGAAACATTTTACTTCTAATTTGTGCTTTACATATTCAGATAAGGCCGCATATTTGAGTGTTATAAGCTGGTTGCCTTTGTAATTCATTTACTACAAGTTTTGAACATGTGATGGCCAAAATTGTGATGCACTAACTGTTTCCCCATCGAAATATAGAATCAGGTGAAGGAATTGAGGTGACAACTGAACTGCCTCCGAAAAGACCTAAAGTAAGGCCTCTCATAGTCCAATCAGATGTAGTAGGAAAGAGAACCAAGCTGTCAACACATCCCACTTTATATAATAAGAGGGAGCAAATCAAGCAAGGATCAAGTCCCTGCTGTGCAACTACTACTGCTGAAGGTAACATGCAAACCCTAATGACACATCAGACACTTGGTAATTTCGAATTAGAACACTTCTTATTTCGTTGATAAAAAAAACTTATTTCGAGGGAGGATTGTAAGACCTGAAAGAATCACTCTTGTTCTGTGCAGTGCAAAGATCGAAATGGAGCAGGTATTTGGACACAGGCCTTTTTGGTGAGAGGAAAGGGTCTGATACCCCTGGGCCACACTGGACTGAACATGACGAATCTGCCTCTACTAAGGCCACTACTGATGTAGTGGTGGAAGATGAGGTGCACCCTGATTTCATCTAGTCTCATATTGGATTGAAATGCCAAATGCTTTGTGTTCTGGTAGCGTGTAGTTTGACAGAGACAAATGTGCTGCTGGCAACACCTTGTCAAGACAAGGATGTGCAGTCCTTGGTACCCGAGGGGAAGAAAATGTGCTGTTCCCAAGATGTTATCCTGTATGATGGGGCACTTCATAGTAGATTGTGTTGTAGGAACAAAAGCTGAATGCAAAATAGGATAATCATTAACTTTCTGAAACTATAATTTTATCATCGAATCTCTTCCACGTCTGTTTTTTTTAACTAGACCCCATCTTTCAAATTTTAGATCATATATTTCTGCAATGATAGCCTTACCAGAACTAGTCTGTAGTCTCAGTGACACCTATATGTCAAGTATGAGTTCAGCCACCTGAGAGTCAATTAACAAAGTATTACATGACTCCACTCAGTTTTTCCATATCATGAAACTGCAGACTTGAAGATATTGGCTACATTTTATTATTAGAGAACTTTTTTTATCATCCCCTCGATGAGGCATTTTAAAAAATGGAGAGCTCTTTATTTTAAAACTCTATAATAAAACCAAAATAACTTCTAAATTAATTAGCCAAATTGCTGCATAATTCTTATTGGAAGCCTGTAGCAGAATTTTGTTGCAACTTGCTCACTTCTACACCTTCATAGTCCAGCTTATACAATACAAAAGAGGACAAGGGATCATTTGTGTTATGGCAGTGAATGATTGCTATATAAGTGCAGAATCACACACTTTTGGTGACTGATTTCTGTTTTGTTAAAAGCCGAAAGGAATGGCTTTATCTCTTTCAATCCGGTCCCGGTTCCTTTTTTTCATCATTAACCCTCTTTTGCATCATAATGCATAATCCAATGGAAGCGCGCAAGTTTCTCTTAACTTGGCAGCGCCATGCTTTGTCCTGAGCCCCAACAGTACCAGACCGGGTGATCAGTTCAATAGATCATCTCATTTGTGTGTAGTGCCCCCCGATACCCCAGTGATACATTCTTTGCTGAACTTCAGTTTTTTTGTATAGGTGTCACGTTGTGGGCATGTTCAGGCCGTTCCGTTCTTAGACCGTAGGTCATGCATTTTGGTGGACATCAGGCTATCTCAACAATAACACCCAAAATACAAGACCCATTCGTCCTTTGAGTAGCGCTACAGACAAAATATTCAATACCTATTCAACATCTTCTCAACAACAAGACCCAAAAGAGAATTATTTCTGTAAATGGGTTTCCAGAAGACAAGATGCCCATATTTGGGTTGTGTCTTCAGGCAACCCAAAATAGGTGTTCCGTATAGGTATTCTGTTGGAGACTGATTTTTGGTCTCTTGCTATCTATTTTGGGTTTGGGTGCCCATACGGGTTGTTTGGTAGAGACGGTCTCAGTTTAGTTCAGTTCCGTGCCAACAGAGCTACACAACTGGATGCCATCAAAGTATTCAATTAAACGCAGCCTCATCCATTGACACTGCACGCTGGCAAGAACAAAGCCGTGCCTGTGCGTTGGCGTGCTTTGAATCGCGCCTTTAAAGCAAGCAAGCGCCGACAGCTCCGGCGGGCCGTCGGCATATATTCCCCGTTCGATGCTCGGCGCTCCACCGCGTGGCCTCCCCCGTACCATAGGCATCGCGACGGCGACGTCGTCGCCGTCTCAGCTGCATTTCCTTGCGTCACATGATGTTAGTACCCGCCATGTCTTTTCATGTGCTTGCTCTGTTGTTCACGGTCGCCGGAGCATGGAACCAGAAACCGTATACGGCCTTCCTCGGTGTCGCCACGCGATCCAGGGTGGATTTGGTGGTAGCGGGTTTAGAAATCTCTCTCTCTCTCTCCGTAGTCTGCCTGCCCCATCTGAATCTCGAAAATGGCGGCTCTCTACTGGCAGGATCGCAGGGAGTCTGGTGGACCCGGTTTGTACTGAGACTCTTTCTTGTGGTTGCGACTTGCTTCCACAGAATGTCACAAGCTCACACACAATGCATGTGAGGTGAGGTGGCTGAGCACTTGAGCTGAGGAAATTTCTTGTTTCTGTTCTGCATCAAATACTTGACCATGTGGCACAGCACAGCAGCGTCACAGCAGTAGTAGATCTTGATGACTGACTGTTGGTACTACTCCGTATAATCCTGTGAGAGATCTGAACCACCGAGTGATTAATATCTCCTGCGTCCTGCCGCCGAAATGACGAATCCGCAACGTGTATCCGTGCAACAGTACGAATCGTTCGCCACTGAGCTTGCGTGCTACTGCTACGTGTTACCGTGCTTGCTACCAATCATGCAAAACTCTATGTTCGGATCCGGGATCAAAATTTAAAGGGGCTCTTGTGTTCTTGCCCCTATTTTGATGTGCAATTGTAATTTTGTCCTCGTTTTTTTAACTTTGTGATTTTGCCCTTAACTGTTCACGAGTCAACACGATTTTGCCCTCGGTCAACGGATCCGGGCAAATTCGCGATCAACTTGTGAACAATTTAAAAACCTGCCTTTCAATAAGCAAATAACAATCGCGCCTTTCAATGCAAATATCGCGGTGATGAATGGGTGGATCGTTCACTTCTTTTTTGACATCAGACACTTTTTTCCTTTTTGATGGGCACCAACTGGCTGCTCGAAGAACAGCTGTGCTGGTCCAGCTATCTGGCTCTGGCTTTCTGTTCTGGGTACCCCCACAGAACTGTATTCGGGTCAAAGTACCGAGTGAGATAAATCACCGTTGAAAACCCCGAAGGGCCGCAGGTAATCATACGGCCCTTCACTTGATATTATTGCCGTAGGACATAAAGCACGGGACGGGTAGAATCAATAGGAGCGGTACAGTCACGGTGCCAGGCCCCTCTTTATTATCACAGCACCGCACGAATAACCGTGGCCTCGTGTCGTGTCTGCCTCGTAGCAGGTAGCAGCACTCCCCCGGTACAATCGCGCGCCAATGCAAGGGGATCACCACTGTGGTAGAAGTATCGACTAGTCGTAGGAGTAGCTCAATGGAGCAACCGTGGTTCGTCGGTCCTGGACCGTTGTTCGCTGTTAAATAAAGGTCAGCCGGCAGCTTGCCAGCGGCCCGCGGCCAGAGCGCCAGCGAGCCTAGTCCCGTCCCTGTTGGGTCGGTGGTTGGCTGGCATGGCCTGGCCTGGCCTGGGCGCCCCTTGGTCACCCGGCCAGACGGCGTAATTGTTGGGCACGTTAACCTGTCAAGTGTCATTGTGTCAAGCACCACTAAGCGATGGTTTGGTTGGTTAAGCTCGTCGCCTTCGTGTGCTTTGATAATTGGTATGCGTGCACCGGAACCGGACACCGGCTGTCCGATTCGATCCCATGCTTCTTCCATTGGCTACCTGCTTTTGGCGGATTTTCTTTTGTGCTGGGCGTAATGGTGACTGCACGTTACACGCACTCATTATCCTGGCTGATGCTTTTGCGTTACCGTTAGGACGTCCGTGCGCGACGAGGTGCACGCGCCACCGACCGTCCGCACTCACTGTCTTGCCGGATAGCAATGGAGCCAGCTATGTGTACTTAACAACAGTACAATACTTGTTGGAATGTGTTGAGGTGGCTAAAGCAGTAGAGCTTCCTTGGTGTACCACTGCCAGCTTCGCCTTGGCTGCCTCCAAAATTTTCACTTGCCCTTTGCTTGCAAACACGCCGGGATGTACCTAGTGCTGTTTGCAAGCTAGAAGACGAAGCCCGGGACAAGACTTGACTGGAAGAGAATCTTCTGAGCCTCGCCGTTACCGCGAACAGCAGTCACTAGTAGTTTGTCACGACGCACTCGGCACTCCACGAAGCAGAGGCAGCGGTCAAATTATCTTCTCGGAGTGGTAAATCCTAATCCGCTTAGAGCGTGTTTAGTCCCGGGAAGTTGGAATTTTGGGTTATTATAACACTTTTATCGTTTTTTTTTGTAATTAGTGTTTAATCATAGACTAATTAGGCTTAAAACGTTCGTCTCGTAATTTCTCACCAAACTGTGTAATTAGTTTTTTTTCGTCTATATTTAATGTTCTATGCACAACTCGCAAATATTTGATGTGATAGGTACTGTAGCACTTTTTGAAAATTTAGAGTGAAACTGAAAACGCGCTTAGCTAATCTGAGCACCCGCAGCGGGGGGGCCACCACCCGACACCGGCTCCCACGCTTGGACGCGACGACGCGTGGGCCTTGCTGACACGCGGCCCCGCGGGCCGTGGGTACTCGTCGGGCCCACCGTCGGTTCGCCCATGTACCGCAGGGTGGGACAGGGCTAGCTCGTCTGCAAAAGGCGACGCCCCGCAGCGTTCCGAAACGTATTTCACGCTACCCATCCCTACCGATGTCACTGACATGCGGTCCCAGGTTTTCCCGGGCCTTCTGCTCGGTGTCCTTGAATGGGTAAGACTGTGTCGCGGCGCGGGACCCGTGCGCTGGCGCGCGCGCGCTCCCTCTCTCTCTCTCCCCGGCCTTTTTGTCAAGCTAGCCGAGTGCCTGACTGCCTGAGCAGCTGAGCTAGTGAGCTCCAGTCCTCCACTTGACTCTCCCCGCCAGCTACTCCAACCAACAAAATACCTCCGTCTCCGTTTCTCCAATGGATTGGAGGTTGGGGGCGTGAAGGCTGAAGGGTAGGTAGGTCGCTGGATAGGGACAGGGAGACGACGAGAGGCGTTTCGCCGAGCAGTTGGCGTGCTTCTTCCACAGGCCGACCGACGCGCGCCGCGCCGCGCCGCTGTTTCAGGTTTCCGAGCTACATTCGTCGCTTATGTCTGCGCTGATTACGGGCTAGATTGTGGCGTTAGCGCTTGGTTCGTGGCTTTGCGTGGAGCTGTGTTTGATTGGCCAGATCCGTGTGCGAGTGCGTTCCTCTTGGTGCTTTTCTTCTCTTCTCTGCTGGTCCGAGGCTCTGAGCTAGTGTGCTTTGCTTGCTTGGGAGTCGGGTGTCTGAGTGCCGTTTTCGGCCACTGCATTTGGGCTGTACGTGTTTCTCAGTTTCTCTGCTGCTACCCTCTCGTATCTTGTGGTGGGCTGGGCAGCTTACAGCTTTGTTTTACCACTTTGGAAGCTAATGCTGTAAACTTGTTAGACTATGCTCCTTTTGGCGAGAATACGGTTATTCAAACATGTTCTTCTATTTTTCTTTTACAAAAATAGAGTCGGTTGTGGTATACTGGTATAGATCTGTGTACTGATGGAAGCTCCTCTATTTACAGGTTCTAGAATTTTCAGTGTTGGGTGCTTTAGGCTACTATGGGCAAGTCACCGGGAAAGTGGATCAAATCGGTGCTTTTGGGGAAGAAATCTACCAAGTCAGGTTCTACCAAGGTGAATGAATCGGTAAGGACTGCCATAGAGTTGATTTGTTCTTTGGGTTAGATTCCCCCGAGGATTTGCAGTTCATTTGTGCAATCCTTGTTTAGATTATTACCCCATGTACGCACTGAAGCTAGCTTTTGCAATTCTACTTAGTATTTGCTTCTGAGAAATAGTTACTATTTTTGCGCAATTCTTGTCGGTAGCTGTTTTTCTATGGTCAAGCTTTGAGGTTAATGCCATTTGTCCATAACCTGAATGCACACAAGGGCATCCGGTTTATATTTTCAGTAGCAGAGGTTGGAATTTCCTTTACTAGTAACTGTTCCTTACTGGATGACTCTAAAAACGTGCAAACTGACGCATGTCCTTGTAGTTTCTTTTTTTTCCCCTCCTTTATCCAGATTGTATATTTTGTTTCTTCCTTCCCCTTTCCCTGACCGTTGAACCATATTTTTTAGAAGGCTGATAACAACAGACATTCAACTGGGGAGGACCGCACATTATCTGAGAATTCTCCTGTGATTTCTGAGCCGGTACTAGTTAACGTCCACAAGAATATAGCTGTCAATGGGAAGGCTGAAAATGCCAGTGATAGGGCAGGGCAACAAGATCTGCAGAACCAAAGCATTGTTGAGTCCAAATCATCGGCTCCTTGTCAGCTGGGAGAAGATCAAGCTGCAGCAAAGGCACAGGCAGCCTTTCGTGGTTACCTGGTAATAGTTTTTTCCCCATAAACTGGTTCAATATTGTATCAGCAACTCTCTGATGCATCTGCAGCATTCTGCCAGTGTTACTCATAGTTTCACCGAATGATTATGTGGAACCACTCGTGTGTGTGTGTGTGTGTGTGTGTGTGTGTGTGCGCGCCCGCGCGTTTGAATGGAAATGGCAGCGCAAATCTTAAATAAATTGATGAGCTGAGTGGTTGACTTGATTGTACCTTATCATTGGTCATTGTTAATTACTATTACCTTGGGAGATTACAGAAGCACCCATCATAGTGTCCCAGAGTCCGATTTGATGGCTATATTCACATTTCTGCATTTTGACTTGGATCCTGCGTATCATAAAACTATTTATTGTACAATTGTTTGGGTAATTGAGATGCCATCCTGCAATGTATTCATTTCAAGTTTAATACTGTAGTCTGTAGGCCTGTAGCACAGACTAATGTTGCGATATTTCTAGTGCAGGCACGAAGGTCATTCCGTACATTAAAAGGTATCATAAGACTTCAGGCACTGATTCGAGGGCATCTTGTAAGGAGGCAGGCTGTATCAACCCTTCGTACAACATGGTTGATTGTGAAGTTTCAGGCTCTAGTTCGTGGAAGAAATGTTAGACTCTCCGGCGATCACATGCAATTCAATGTGCAGTTTGGGCAGCCTAACTTTGGGGTAAGTTTCTTTGTTGAGCACACATTTACATTTTGTTTGCATCCTTATTCTTATTTTAAGTCAGTGCGGTGTTTGTTGCATATGGTTCCATGCAACATTGCTGTTTAATATCCTTCTATGAAATTTTGGGAAAAAAAGAAAATATGTTGCTTGTACTTTTCAGGGTGTTAGATCGTCTGATGCATGGAAAGAGAAGCTGTCTTCAAATGCTTATGTTCGGAAGGTATTCTTTTTTCAAATATTACAAATGGATTGGTTATATAATATCCTACAAAAACGGCATTTGTCTTGTTCCTCTTTTTTTTTATAAGGGCATCAGCAACGTTTATTACCCACCAAGGCAACAAGGGTTGGCCCCTATGTCTGTCGGCATGCCTAATAAAAAACCAATGTCATTCAACCACCAGCTCCTTTGACCCGTGGCATGGGCATCTACTGCACCAGGGGGAGAGATACAGTGGAAGATATATTACATGTTTTATATTTGTTATGATTTATGAACCTGTAGCAGCGCTGTTGTTGGCTTGAACTAATATTACTCAGTGGCAATCTGGACAATAGCTTCCTTATTGCCCTTTTCTGCAACATTGTTGCTGCCCTAAGAAAAGTTAGCAATCCGTTGTGTTCCATTTACATTCCCTTCACATATTCCAAGGTTTTTCTAACTCATTTTCATATTGTGCAGCTTCTGTCTTCACCAATTGTGCTAGAACCTCTTCACTTCCAGTATGACAAGAGGGATCCCAATTCAACCTACAACTGGTTTGAGAGATGGACCATAGGATGCATCTGGAAGCCTGCTTTTCAACCCAAAAGAGTTGCTGATGGGAAACCACTGGTAAAGAAGGCTAGTTATGCAATGGAAACTGAATCAGCCAAGTTAAAGCGCAATATTCGGAAGGGTTCTGCTGTTATCGCTGGGAGTTTCCATGCATCTGGTGAATCTGATAAAGTAAAGCGGAATCCAAAGAAATTCTCTAGCTTCCCTGCTGATTCAGTACCAGATAGCCAGTTATCTGAACTTGAAAAGGTTAAAAGGAACCTCAGGAAGGTAACTGATTCGATGGCTGAAGCCTCAAAGATATCTAGTTCCAGGGTTGATTCCTCGAAGGTATGTGATTCTATAGCTGATGTCCCAAAGGAATCTAATCCTGTGGCAGAAATCTCAAAGATACCTAGTCTCCTGAATGGGATCTCTGACCATCAAGGTATTCAATGTGAGAATACACGTGAGGCTTCCTTTCCTCTTGAAACTCAAGAATACTCTGACAATGATCATCTATTGCGATATTCAAATATGGATAGCTTGGACTTGGTACCTGGTTTGAAAAGTGATCAGGAAATTCAGCTGGATTCGGTTTCTGTAGGAGAAAATGTTGATGATCCCACTGTTGTTGCTCCAGCAGTTGAAGAAATGCCACTGCAAAACATTGATACTGAAGACAATGTTTTATGGAAGAAAGAGGAAGCAAGGTCCAAGGAAGAGCACCTGTCTAATGGAAGCCTTAGAACTAGCAAGAGGAAGTCTTCATTCCCCAACAAATCAGAATATGTAGAAAATGGGACTCACGCTGCTCCAGTTCAGCCAAGGCAGCCAAGCTATATGGCTGCAACAGAGTCTGCAAAGGCGAAATTGCGAGCCCAGAATTCACCCAGGCTGGATTCTGATTCATCAGCAGAAAAGAATGGTTTCACCCGACGCCACTCTCTTCCTTCCAGTACAAAGAGTAAGTTTGAACTCACTCACTGTGTTTACAGACAACATACAAGGAAGTGAGAGGGATGGTGTAAAAAAAGTAATCGATCTGTATTTTCTTCAACTTTCAAGTGATGCAATCATGCAAATGATAAGAATTAAAAAGAGGTGTTTCTCAACTGACTATAAGTTAATAATCTTTTAAATTCAGCTTATCGGTTTATGGTATTCATTTTGCCATCATGTTCAGAAAGAGTTTATCTTGAATAGTCTGGAATATGAAGCTCAAATGGCTGTACTAACAACCTTTCTTTTGTTTTTTGGACATCCCTTCTCATTGTATTTTTTTTTACATCTGCAGGTAGAGCAATCAAAGCTGAATGGAAGCGCTGAAGAGGCAACCAATCTTCCACTTGAATTGAATTGTGCAATGCTCTGAAACTTTGCTGGGAAGGGCGGGCCTGGTACAAGCGGTAGAGTCTTACCGCCTGTGACCGGAAGGTCCGGGTTCGAGTCGCGGTCTCCTTGCATTGCACAGGCGAGGGTAAGGCTTGTCACTGACACCCTTCCCTAGACCCCGCACAGAGCGGGAGCTCTCTGCACTGGGTACGCCCTTTCTGAAACTTTGCTGGATGAACTCGACCGATCTTTGTCCCTTTTAAGTCTCCTGCGATGTAAAGAGAGATGTTCTTGCTGTGTCGAACAACCTTGTGAAGTTGTGATTCTGGTTCAGTTTGCCGTAGGTTCATGTGCAACCACTAGTGCCTTCTGTCATTGTATATTGCACGATTCTTGTCGAAGGAACTATGCCTGTGTAAGCTGATGTTAGGACTGCATTAACTGAATAACATCATCCAGTTGGCCTTGCTGTTAACTTCAGTGTTTGGGACAAACTATCGATTATGAGAAAATTCAGAAATTTACAATCAGCCATAACAGAACAGTGATTTCTAGAACAGTTTTCTTAAACAGAAATGGTTCCTGAAATGGACAGTCCTTCTCGGTCAATATAAATGTGATCAAATGTCTTGCATAGCTAAACAAAATTCTCCCCCAAAAAACTTTATGCTAACAGGTTGCACCATATTAATCAAAATGTAACTTTTTAGCAGACGTGGACAATTTGGCCTCTCGATCAACTCCAAGTAAAAGACTTGTAAATCTGCCTTGGACGAAAGGAGCAAACGTGGCTGAAGATTGCGCATACACATCAGTTGTAGCGGTTGGCATTGTGGCATTACCATTGCTGTCTTGGATCAAAGGATCATCCATGGTAGAATGTTGGCCAAACTCATCAGTTCCACTAATGCTACCATCATGAAGGCACTGTGTCACAGAATATGAAATTGTTCATAAATCTTTGAGCAAAGTACATGACCGGTCTTTAAACTCGTGTTGATGTGTCATGCTAGTTGCCATACTCACAAAGTGCATCATTTTGACGTTTAAACTTGTCAAGATATGCCATACCGGACGTTTAAACGTTTAAGATGATTGTATTCGAAAGACCTGTCATGGTATTGATTTTTTTTAGCAAATAGCCAAATATTGTTAGAGAAATTAAAGATCAAAATCTATTTTATGTGACTTTTCTTTGTTGCAAATGCATACGGAGTAATTAGTACTTCCTCCGTGCGAAAAAGACTGCACATCTTTGTTTCAAAAGGTCAATCAATCAATTTTAAACGTAGCCACATCTATAAAAAGGTAATAATAATATTTATGATATCATATAGTAGATACTAGTATTAGATTAGATTAATCATGCAATTAATATATGAGTTAAATGCATCAACGACCCTCGAACTTGTAAGCGTGTACCACGTAAGTTTATGAACTTTGAAAATGCATTTCTGGGTCCCTATACTTGTTAAGTGGTGCACCGAACAGCCATGTGGATAATTTTAGCAGACATGGCATGCTAGTATGGCATGAATTTTTCATTTAAGCCCTCACATTTATTTTTCTCGTAAAAAATTACCCTTCCTTCTCTCTCATCCTCTGCACGTCGTCGGATACGGCTCGGCGTCCAGCGGCCAGTACAGCGTCATCTCCGGCGCGTACAGCCCGCTCTGGCGTGCGCTCCGGCGGAGCGTTCCACCCGTCGCGCCTGAGCAGGTATGCCAGCACGCCGGGGCAGGGCTCATCTCCGCCATCGCGGCGCAGATGGACCGCGACGGGGTCAGCCGTCGTCAAGGGGCTCCTGAAGACCTGAACCGAGCCATGTTTCGCGTGCTCGTCGCCATGTGCTTCGCTGAGGCGCTCGCCGCCGACGACACCGTCATCGCCTCCGTTGAGGCATTACAGAGGGAGTTCGTCACGTTGGCCATCGGCTTCCAGGTGTTAGGCGTGTGCCCCACGGTCACCAAGGTTCTGCTCCGGCGATGGTGGAAGAGGATGTTGTCCCTCCGGTGCTGGCAGGAGGAGCTATTCGTACCTTGGCGCCATCGTGCTGGAGGGGCTCCGGGCCACGTCGTGCTCGACGCGATCGCCGTCGCCGCGATGCTAGGATTGGGCTCGATCAGGATGGGCGTCCTCGCGCTATGGGATGGCCACGACAATTCCTTCCTTTCTCACGGTGCCCGCGGCGATCGTGGTGTCTCGCGCTTCTTTTCTCTGCCGGTGGATCGCCGTGAGCCCAACTCGAATCCCTGCCGCGGACCGCGTCCTAGCGCGGAGCGAGCCCGTGAAAGGAACGTCGTCCACGAGCCCGAGGCGCGCGCAGCAGGCGTCCTCCGTCTTGAGCACCCGCTTGGCCGCGCCCACATTCGCGCTTCTCAGCGTACATGCCGGCGAGGAAGCCCGGCACGAGCGGGTGCGCGGTGACGTGGGCCACCTTGGCGGCGTGGGCGTGCACGGCCCGACCCCTGCGCGGCCGCACGCGTGGATCGCACGCGTAACCGTCGGCAGCCACCCCGCGTGCCCGCATCTCCACAAACCCAGAAATCGCGTCGCCCCACTCCTCCGCCTCGGCGAGCATGGCCACGCGCTTGTGTCCACAGAACCGTGTCATCGTCGCGTCGCCATCCTCCGCCGCCGCCGCTGTCGCCTCCTGGAGCAGGCGCCGGGCCGAGGCCCCGCGGCCCAGGCGCACAAGGAGGTCGGCGAGCGCGCACGCAACGCGCGGACCGAGCCCGTGATCTCACGCAGACCCCTCCATTTCTACTCTTCAGTTTCCTGTCCGAGTCCGACGACGCGAGACAGCGAGAGTACAACAAGTCAAGAACTTTCGATGCGCGCACGGCTGCAGGCCTCCGTGCGAGTCTGATGACGACCACCGCGACCAACGACGCGCAGACGCTGTACCCGAGCCGTATCCGACGACGTGCAGTCGTGCAGAGTATGAAAGAGAAGGAAGGGTAATTTTTTATGGGAAAATAAATGTGAGGGCTTAAATGAAAATTCATGCCACGGTAGCATGCCACGTTAGTTAAAATTGTCCATACGGCTGATATGAAGTTATGGTGCACCACTTAACCAGTTTAGAAATCCAGAAATACATTTTCAAAGTTCATAAAACTACGTGACATACGTTTACAAGTTCGAAGACCGTTGGTGTATTTAACTCTTAATATATTTGTATAGCGACATGTTCGCTTTTTTGGGGGACGCGCAACGGCAACTGCATTGCCCGCAAGCGAGGCGGTGCGTCCCGCCGCTAGCCTGGCGTTCGGCTCAAAGGCACAAGCACAAACACAACGGCGCAACGCAAGCGCGCGCTCTGCAACTACTAACCACGAAGAGGCGAGGGGCAAGGAGCAGAGCAAGAAGCCAAGAAAAGATGGCCGCCGCTGCCGCCGTCCCGGACGGCGTCTCCTCCTGCGGGAGCACCAACATGCGCCGCGCCGACCACCTCCCTCAGCTCCCGATCCCGCTGCCCTGCATGGGCGAGCCCACCGCCGCCTCTCGCGTCTCGCCGGGCTCCTCCCCGGCCCGCTCTGAGGCCTCGCGGGGCGCCCCTTGCTACAACGCCGACGCCGAGTCGGACCCAGAGGCATCGAATACCGCCGCCGCCGATCACTACCGCTGCTCATCCAAACTTCCCACAGCCTCCCGCCTACTTTCGCCGATGGAGCCCCACCTGCCTGCTGACCTCGCGCGCCTCCTCAAGACCCGACCGCTCCGCGCCATCCTTTCCAACGCGTCCACCTATCGCGCCGCACGCCACCTATTCGACGCGGTGCCCCGCCCGACAGCCGCACTGTGCTGCGCTTTCCTCTCTGGTCTCTCAAAGCTCTCGCTGCACCAGGAGTTCATCGAGGTCGTCTCCTCGCTGCACCGTAGGGGTGGCGCCATCCCATCTGGCTGCATCCCGCTTGTCCTGAAGTCCTGTGCGCTGTCGGCAGCGTCCTGCCAGGGCAGGCAAACGCATTGCCATGCCCTTGTGCGTGGGATGCTAGGAGATGTGTTCGTGCAAACTGCTCTGGTCGATTTCTACGCCAAGAATGGGGACATGGACTTAGCTGTGATGGCCTTCAAGGAAATGCCGGTGAAGGACCCAATACCGATAAATTGTTTGATCACTGGGTACTCCAAATCAGGGGATGTGGAAGAGGCAAGAAGGCTTTTCAATAGTATGCCGAGAAGGACATCTGCTTCCTGGAATTCGATGATTGCCTGCTATGCACATTTTGGAGAGTTCCAGGAAGCATTTACATTGTTTGATCAGATGTTGCGTGAGGGTGCAAGTCCAAATGCTATCACTATCACAACGGTGTTCTCCATTTGCGCCAAGACTGGTGATCTTGATACTGGAAGGCGGGCAAGGGCGTGGATCAGGGAGGAGGATTTGCAGAACGTGATAGTCCACACTGCTTTGATGGAAATGTACATCAAGTGCCGTGCTATCGACGAGGCACGTCATGAGTTTGATCGGATGCCACGAAGGGATGTCGTAGCATGGAGCACCATGATTGCTGGTTATTCACAAAATGGGAGACCACATGAATCTCTTGAGCTGTTTGAGAGGATGAAAGCAACCAATTGCAAGCCAAACGAAGTTACTCTTGTTGGTGTATTGTCTGCTTGTGCTCAGCTGGGTTCTGATGAACTTGGAGAACAGATTGGTAACTATATCGAGAGTCAGACACTGCCACTAACCAGCTATCTAGGATCTGCTCTGATTGACATGTACACCAAGTGCGGGCATGTTGCCAGAGCTCGCAATGTCTTCGACCGGATGGAACAAAAGGTGGTCGTTACATGGAACTCCATGATCAGAGGCCTAGCACTGAACGGCTTTGCAGAAGATGCAATCACCTTGTACAGAAAGATGGTAGGAGATGGGATTCAGCCCAATGAAGTCACCTTTGTCGCGCTATTGACAGCATGCACGCATGCTGGCTTGGTAGACAAAGGCATAGAATTCTTCGAAGAGATGAAGAAGAAGCAACATGTCTCTCCTCAAGTTGAGCACTGCGCTTGCATAGTGGACCTCCTCTGCAAGTCTGGCAGGCTGTGGGAAGCCTACAAGTTCATCTGCGACATGGAAGTTGAACCAAACGCGGTGATTTGGAGCACGCTGCTCAGCGCCTGCAGAGTCCACGTGGACGTTGAGCTTGCCAAGCTCGCCGCGGGCAAGCTTGTGGCACTGGAGCCCAATAACTCGTCGATCTACGTTCTGCTGTCCAATATCTATGCTGACGCAGGGCTCTGGGGTGATGTGAGGGAGATCAGAGACCTGATGAGGAGCAAGAACTTGCAGAAGCTGTCCGCCTACAGTTGGATCGAACTAGACGGCGAGGTGCACAGGTTCCTGGTACAGGATACGTATCACCCAAGGTCAGCTGAGATTTACAACGTCGTCGATGGCCTGGGCTTGCAGTTGGAGAGGACTAGTCCTGATCATGAATTAATTTCAGAGGTTTGCTGATCAAATTACTATCATGTCAATTACAATACTTTCTTGCCAAATGTCAATGCAATTTGTCCTTTGTAGGAGTACAACTGTATAGAAGTGTAAGAGGTGAAGTGCCTCAGATATTCATGGTTTTTCCTTTTGTTTTCTTTCCTAGAGGTTTTTATGTCTCGTTTTTTTTATCAAAAAATCTAAAACTTACTTAGAGGAATATATCAAATCTGGGCCTTTGCCAACTTTAGGCCCAGCCCAGTAACAACTTTACTTAGCACCTGGGTGGCTGGGTCTCTCAAGCACGAGACGGCCAGAGCACCAGATTCCGTTCCCCTGAACCCGATCGAGATGGAATCGGAAGCTGACAGGGCCGTGGCGCCGGCGCCGGCAGTCGCCGCGGAGACCAGCGACGACGCCATCCAGGAGGAATCTCCAGCCACGGCCCCTTCCTCAGAAGGGAAGCCCGGATCAAGGGCGGCGGCCTCGGCGCCGGAGGTGGAGGTGCAGCTGTTCCGGCGCGGGCGTCCGGTGGCCGTGTTCCGGTCGCAGCTGGGAGGGTATACGCAGGACCAGCTGGAGGTGGGCGACATCCTGGAGCAGCACGGCCTCAAGTCCGTCTTCGCCTTCGACCCCGCCGCCCGCAAACGCGGCGTCGCCATCCGCTTCAACCCCCGCAACGGCCGCTCCCTCCTCACCTACGCCCCTGGCTCCACGATCTTCCTAGACGGCGAGCCCAAGGTCATCTTAGAAGCAGCACCCACAAACACCACTGCACATCAATTTTGCCTCACCTTACTTTTCCTTGATTTAGCAATTGTTTAGCATACCTTGTCTCCTATAAGGTTAGTATATGACAAATAGCCAATTTTCTCCTCATATCATGCGTTTGTATCTTTGATGATGGTCTAGGATTCTTTGCTGAAGCCCATCGAAGATGGTGATTGGCGTCGCTGCTATGACTGTGGTAGCTGCAGTGCTACTGAAGCAGGCCAAGATGCCAGAGTGGCTTCAGTCATCTAAGCTTGGCAACGTGAGCTTCCCACCATGGGTGCTGGCTTGCTTTGTCATCGTGTTCATGAGGCTTCGGAAGAGAACCAAGGATGTCATGAAGAAGTTTGGCTGGGCCTCATGAGGTAGCAACAGTTTTACCTTTATTTGTATACTTGAAGGCAAAGACAGAGGCAGAAGTAGTTGCCGTCAGAACTCTATGTTACTGTCAAAATTCAAGTTAATTGAATTGTAATAATTGCAGTCTATATTCTAATTGGAGGTGAAAAATTCGTTCTCAACGTTTTAAAAGTGTGAATGTGTGATATACAGTTCTGCACATCTCTTCTAAATTACCAGCACAATAATCAGTGGTTTTTGTGGTGGCATAGTGCTGTTATTTGATCTCTATCTAGTAGTACAAAGCAATACTCGTTCCCTTTTAAAATAAAGAGGAAAATTAAGTTTTCTCCATATATTTAGTTGTGGTATAATATATTTTAAAACTTATACTCTTAATACTAAGAATTAGGGCCTCGCTGGATAGGTAGGTTCCTAGAGCAACCTCCTTGGCCCAAATATGTCCTAATATTAGTGAGGGATTAGGGCATTACTTATGACTTTGAGCTTTTTTTTTACAAACTTCTAGACTGTTTGTGTGTGGTTATAAGCATGTTATGCAATGTGCTGCTTCCTTCAGTCAGCTTTGAGTATAAATCAAGTCCATCTCTGTGTTTTCGAACTTAATTAAGTTGTATTAAAAATTCTCTACGGGATGCAATGTAAGGCCGGTCTCGGTGGGAGTTTCATATTCCAGTTTCCAACACTAGAAACAATGCAAAATAATTTTATCCCCATGAAACTCTCTGTACTCTTATGAAACTTTTATCATCTCTTTCTTTATAAATACAGTGACATGTCAGTATATTTAATGCCTATGAAACTTCCACTTAGACTTACCTAAGTATTGATGGCTATAACACTACTAATCTGTTACTTCCAATGAGCCATCAAAATATTACACCCCCACCTGTAACACGCGGCGTCCAGTTATGTTCGTAGAGTTAATGTATTGGAAAGAGCTCTTGATTCGACAAAGTGTTGTAGAATCCCTCTGTCCTAGTATACAAGTTGTACCATCTCTAATTCAAAGACAAAAAAAACTTATTTAATTCTCTCTCAACACTAGTACTACTGCATCAATGCACGTGTATATAGGGAGAGCACGTCTTGTATTATGGGACTTAAATAAGAAATATTTATGCCTTATATATTAGGACAGAGGGAGTAGTATGGCAATGTTTGATTTCCCTCCTTTAACCAAACAGGTGCATCTCTTCCATTTTTTTTCCCGATCATGCACGAGAACCGCATATCTTTATATTAAAAAAAAATGGTCAAGAACCCTTACAACACAACACATACCCTTGTTTCTAAGAAACTCCCTATTCCTTGCCATTGCTCTTCTATTATCCCTTTTTTAGGATGCCATGGAAATCCTTTGTGTGTCTCATGTCCTTTTGCATACGATCAAATACGCTCCATTAATGATGAGTCAGGACATTACTATTGAGTAATGATGCTGAGCTTTTTTGTTACAAACTTTACTTAAATAAACTTTATTATTATTATTACTACTACTTTTATGCATGCCCTACATTCTTTTTTCTAATTCTCCTCACATTCACTTGATATCTAGACCCACCACTGCATAAGCTCTCCCGTGTCCACACTTGTTGCTTGCATGAGACTATGAGAGTCGAGCTCTTATTTCTCTCATCTACATCAGCATTTGCTTGGCTATAATATCATTATTATACCTACTATTATATTGATATAAGCATGTTATGCAATGGGCTGCATCCTTGATGAATGCCATCACAACTTTGTACTTTTAATATAAATCAAGTCCATTTGTGTGATTTTTACTTTTTTTAAGACGTCACCGAGGGGTGAGAGCTCCACCCGAATAGTTTTCCATCGATTCCGGCAAGCCCGTGGATTAAGGGTGCACAAGCACCTAATGGGTCGGGATACCCATTGTCATCGAGGTTACATTTTTAGGGGACAGGGAGAGATTAATTCATTACAAACATTTCACACCATTTGTCGACTATATATCGGTCATCCACTTTTTGCCGGCGGCTCTAAAGTCGACAAGAATCCTTGCAAGCGGTCAGTAGGCGCCGCAGGCAAGGCTGAAGGTGGCGGAAGACGACATCGTGTCTTGGTCCAAATCTCCCAACAGCATAGAAGAATCATCGTCGAGAAGAACTTTGGGGGACACCTGCCGGCTTGGACATTTCCCAAAGTTGATTAACGACTGGGAGTTGAAGATTGCGCCAGCCGAGGTGGTTCCAGAAGGCCTTGGCAACCGAGCACTGAAAGATGAGATGGTCGCAGGATTTGTCCACATAGCTCACAGACGTCGTCATCAAGGACATGCTTTTTTTTTTTGTACAAGTTCACTCTGCACTGGATTCTTTCTTGTAGCAGCAACCACCCGAAGAAATGTACCCTGAGAGGGGCACGGCTGCCCCAGATGAAGTTGTATATCCTGCTGCTTTCCCCAGAATGTGTTGATGCCCGGTAGCCGCTGATGTCCAGCTTGTTGGACGGCCCAACGAACTTGCTGGACCGCACGTCCGGAATCAGAGCCTCCACTTCGTACATCTCGCCGGCGGCCTGGTTGGACAGCCTTGGAACCAACATATAGTTGAGAAGAAAAAAAAAAAAAAAATCCATATTACCTCCCTCAATTTTCGTGATAGTTCACTTTTTTTTCACTAAACTTCAAAACTGGGCAAAACACCCCACTCAACTTTTAAAACCGTTTATCTTACCTCAATCCCCTATAAGCCTCTTGAAGACGGTTTTGCCTTTTCTTTTTATTAATTTTTGAAAATCGAGTAAATCACGTGAAAGTTCACTTTTCCTTTTGAACTCTAAAATAATATGGTATACTTTAGTACAAAATTTTGATGTGGCTTTAGATATATGGGCTCAACTTTTGGAAAACCGAAGGAATTTATCTTACCTCCTGGCCCTTTTAAATAAGTAGTTTTGAAAAATTTTATACTAATTGGTTTTGTCTTTTTCTTATTTATTTATATTTTAAAATTTATACATGATCCAATGAGTATTTTAATCTTTAATTAGAAAAAAATTGTAGTAAATCATTTCATTTAAAAAAATATCATAAAAGGAAAATTCAATTTTGTTGGAAGATCTATATGAGTAGAAAATTAGATATATAATTTTTCATTTACTATGAAAAGATTCATATAATATGGTATGATTTAGGTGAGATACAAAAAGTTTTTTGTCCGGTTTTGAAATTTAGGAAGGAAAAACAGACGAAAATTGAGGGAGATAATGGACTTTAGATATATTTCGCTTTTACGACGCCAAGGCCGCCAACGCCGCCTCAGAGGTAATTAAATGGAATAATTCATAGCTCTGCGCCAGTTTTTGATGGTCCAATTGGATGATGAATAATGGCATTTTTATGGTGGCAAAGCTACTTATTGTATGATTGAACTATCGAAGTGTAAAAAGATTTCATTGGACTCAATTGAATTGCATGTATAGCTTAGTGGGATTCGCTATTATAGATTTATTTATATTTAATGACAATTTCTTGCATAAACCTAATATAAAATCTATAACTAAGTTATACATGATCCAATGAGTATAAAAATTTTTTCCTAGTCGCCGCTACAGTTTAAGCATATAATAATTAGCTCACCATAAAAATGTATTCCTATGGAGTGGTATTGTGCATGCCTAGGCCCAGACCACAATTGGACTATAGAAACTGCAGCTATAAATTATTTGAGTACATATATTAAAGTTGATTTCACTTGTTTAGGTCCCAAGTAGATCATGTGGAAAATATGGAAAGAGTTGATTGGGATACGATACAAATAGTGGAGACACGGATGACGAAGGTCGTATTGCACTTATTTAATTACAAAAAATATAGATCTAAATTTAATGAGATTGGGCAAGATAAAAAAATTCCTACTAGTGATGTCGTACTTTGGTCATTTCTATGGTAAGCATACCATATATATTTGCCATCAAGAAGGAGTTCGATTTAGGAGTTATAGGGCTTTTTGCAAGTCCGGGTGATGAAGATTGCCCTTGCCCTTGGAGGATATGGCACTCATGGCCAAGCCAATCGTTGAAGTCTAATAAAATTAGATTTTTTATTTTATATTTTTTCTGTGATTTACTATGATTTTTTTAAAGATTCAGCCAAAATTAAAAAAACTACCTTCAAAACTGCTTATAACGGATCAGGAAGTGAGAAGAACGGTTTCAAAAGGTGAGAAGGTGTTTTGTCCGGTTTTGGAATTTAGAAAGAAAAAATGGACCTTTGCGAAAATTAAGAGAGAGGTAATGCGGACATAAAAAAAAACCGGGGCGTCGAAAACCCTAAAAAAAAAACCTAATCCTTTCGTTCCTCATGGCGGACGCTGACGCCGCGCCGCCAACGCCGCCTCCGGAGGTAGTAGCCCCCGAGGAGCATCCCGCGGCCGCCGATTCCGCCGTCGCTGCACTGCAGGAGGAGGCCGCGACGGCCGAAGTCGATAAGAAGCGGAAGCTGGAGGAGGTCAGCGCCGACGCGGAGGCGAATGGCACCGGCGAGGATGCCAAGCGCCCGCGTGTGGACGGCGAGCCCGACGCCTCCACAGGGGTTGAGCAACAGAACGATGGGTCCTCCGTGAATGTGGAGGAGCCCGCAGCTGCGGAGGATAAGGTTGCTCCGACCGATGTCGCAGCGATGGATGGTGATAATGGCACGGCCGCTCCTGCTCCGGATTCGCAGGCGGGTTCTGATGAGAAGCCGCTTGAAGCAGCAGCTGAAGCTCACAGCAGGAAGGTGATGCAGAAGCTGCTGCACAGGAGATTTCTCGTAAGATCGAAGTGCCCAACAGCAAGATCGGTGTCCTTATTGGAAAAGCTGGCGAGACAATCAGGAACTTGCAAAGGAGTTCGGGTGCAGAGATGCAAATCACTAATTTCGCCGATGTGGACTCAAATGCCCTGACTCTATCGGTTGAACTAGTTGGAAAACTTGGAAGCGTGGATAAAGCTGAGCAGCTTATTAAGAGTGTCATAGCTGAGGCTGAGGCTGGTGGTTCCCTGGCCTTAATAGCTAGAGGATTTGGAAGTGGACAGCCTGGTTCAGAGCAATTTGAGATGACAGTTCCTAATAACAAGGTCCGTCTCATTATCGGAAAAGGGGGTGAGACAATTAAAGGCATGCAGATCAAATCTGGTGCTCGTATTCAGTTAATACCCCAACATCCTCTAGAGGGTGTTACATTGACTGAAAGAATTGTACGTGTTACTGGGAATAAGAAGCAGATTGAAGTTACAAAGGATTTGATCAAGCAAGCTATGAATCAGACATTTTCAAAGCATACAAACCAGTCTGGCGGATATGGTCCACAAGGTTACCGCCCTCAGGGTCATGGTGCAGGTTCTCAGTGGTGATTTTTAATTTAAGCTGTACTGAAAGTTCTCTACAAGATGTTAACTATATTAACTATTGATGGTTATGAGTTATGACACTGTGTTTATATGTTCCTTTCTTTCTTTACCATCAAAATATTACATTGCCGCCTGTAAAATTTGGCCTTCTTATTTCGACCTTGTGTTTTAGACTACGTAGGCAACAGGTCTGAGACAAGAGTAGTATATCTGTATATGTGGCTTCATCAAAGCCAAAGTCAAAATAAAATACATCATCCTTCACTGGGAACTACAAAACCCACCACCAAAAAAAAAAACTACAATTAGTTAACAAGGATTAGGCCAAACAGGTGCAGCTCTGTTTGCCTTGCCGCATGATTGTCCTGAGGTTTTTGTTAGGCTGCCCTGGAAATCCACAGCATGTGCTTTTGCTTTTATGGTTTATGCAGATGATCAAAATGACAGATCAGCTAATACGCTTGCATTTGTATATGATATCCTACTGTTCTTACATATTTGTATCGAGCTTTATATGTTATTTTTATTAATAATCAGATGAAGTTGGGAAGATTTGATTGAAGCGTCAACATTGGCACCTATAAATGTGAATGGATCGTCAAGATTGAATTTAGGACAATTCACCAAACAGATAAAATATCACTAGTCTACAGGAGCACACTCCACCCTTTGAAGATTATACCTATTTCATAGTATCTCATTATAATCTCCTTGTTCAAGACCTTGGGCCAAACAGATAAAAGATCACCGGTAATCCCTACATGAGCACTCCCCACCCTTGAAATGATGAAACCTATTCCTATCTCTCATTACAATTTCCCTGTTGAAGACCTTAGATATCAATTTGGTGTAATCATGGCAGTCCCTGCATACTCTTAGGTTCTTCACAATCCTAATTTCCACGTCTTCTGGCAAGGCGATCAACCCAAAGGCCAGTGCTAGCTTCTCACTGTGCAAGGAGATGGCGCCTTCTTTCTCCTCTTCCTCAATATCAAATAAGACCTCTCTGGTGTTCGCAGTGTATCCTTGCAGTCTCAGCCTCCGATTCATCTCCGCAAGCATCAGCTCGATCTCATTGTATCTTGGGTGTGACTTGCTTCCAGCAAAGAACTCGTGTACCTCGCCATCAACCTCAATAGTGCTCCACCCAGGCACCTTCTTCACTCCCTTGGCCTTCATCATGCCTCGAACCCTGCAGACGCCCTTCCAATTCTGTGATTCCGCATAGATGTTAGACAGCAGGACATGAGCTGCATCATTTTCAGACTCGATTGCCAAGAGCTTGTCTAATGCATATTTGCCCAAGTCAACTCTGTTATGAATCCTAGAAGCGTTGAGTAGAGCTCCCCACACGCCTTCGTGTGGCTCCATTGGCATGGCCTTGATGATATTGATGGCGTCGTCTAGACGCCCTGCTCGTCCATAGAGGCCAACCATGCAGCCGTAGTGTTCTGGCCAAGGATCAACTCCATACTTGTCCATCGAGTCAAAACATGCTCGTCCCTCGTCTACCAACCCAGCCATAGAGCATCCACCGAGCACTGCGACAAAGCTGACACCATTAGGCTGTATTCCTGCACTCTCCATGCGCTTGAACAGCTGAAGGCGCCGCGGGAGGACGAGGCGCGCGTAGGGGAGGTGGTTGGAGGAGGCGAGCGAGGCGAGGAAGGCGGCGAGGTGCGACGGGGAGGCGAGGCGGCCCGAGACGAGGAGGTGCGCGTGGAGCGCGCGGAGGTGGGGGGACGCCGCGGCGAGTGACGGGAGCAGCGTGGTCGGGTCACGGGGACGGAGCAGCGGTGGCATCAGGTTGGAGTTGGACTGGTCCATGCTTGTTTGGTGGTCGGACCGTTGGGTGCCCGTGCGGCCGTGCCTGCTATGGAGAGCTGCTCTGTCCGCTCGACGTCCACGTCCTCCAAGCGCGTCCGTCGCTGCAGCAATGCAAGCTCGTGCCGCCGGCGGATGCGCAACGGCCATCAGCAATTGACGATGCGACATGTCGCCGTGACTTCGAAGGATGCTGGAGGTGGGCTGTGCAGAGACGAGATTTTCGGTCACTCCTGCAAGACGGGTCCGTTTGACGCCGTGGCCCCGTGGGAGCCGGGAGGTGGTCAGGCGCGGGACGTGAGGCGGTGCAAAGTTTGGCCGGCGCGCTGTCTGTTTACTCTGCTACGCGCCCACGCCTACGCGTGGCGAGCGCCTACGTCCCATCGTTGTACTACACCAGCCTGGACGAGAGCTGTGGATCTTTAGTTGAGCCGGCTTATCAGCTAGAATCTATGAATTTTTTGACGCCCGATCGGCAGCGTGATTTGGTGCCAAAATCCTGTGAGCTTGCGTTCATGCACACCACAGGCGGGTCGCACATGATATGAAGAGCAGGTGAAGTCAGATCAGGCGCGTGATTATTCCTGTGTCACGCTGCTGAAAGAACAGTGAAATCCGGTGCATTACCGGGGCCTTATTTAGATTGGGTTATGAATCAGTATTTGGTACTGTAGCATTTTTTTTTGTATTTAATAATTATTGTTCAATTATGGTCTAACTAGGCTCAAAAGATTCGTCTCGTAATTTGCAATCAAACTATGTAATTAGTTATTTTTTTTATCTACATTTAATACTCTGCATATATCTAAAGATTTAATGTAATAGAGAGAGTAAAAAAACTTACAATGTAAGAGGCCCGGACAAGGCTCCGCAGGGCTTAGATTCTCGAATTCACATTGCAAACTGCGGCAAGGTCTAACATGTACTAGTCTAGATTATTCCTTTTCTTTATTAAACAAAAAAATGGTCATGGAAAACATGCATCGAGGTTTCAAGGAAAAAAGAAAGAAAGTTGAGAATCATGCAAAGAAAGAGCAAGAGGGCCAGAGGGGTGTGCAAGGCCAAAGCAGATGCTCTCTGAATCCCTGACACCCTGCAAGATGAAAAAATTAGAATGGGCAAACTGCACTGAAAGCTTCAAGGGCTGCCACCTACTACATCTACAAGACGGAAACACCACTGACATGAGTCCGACAGAGTTGTTTTCGGTCACAGGGTCGCTCCTAAAATTCCTCTCACATCGAATATTTAGACACATGTATGGAGTATTAAATATAAACCTATTATAAAACTAATTGCATAACTTGCGACTAATTTACGAGACGAATCTTTTAAGCCTAATTAGTTCATAATTTGGCAACTTAGTGCTACAGTAAACATATGCTAATGACAGATTAATTAGGCTTAAAAAACCGTCTCGCAAATTAGCCTTAATCTATATAATTAGTTTTATAATTAATTTATATTTAATACTTCTTATTAATATTATTTTAGGAACACTGAAGAACCAAACACCCTGTGGGGTTAGCCCACTCGAAATGCATCTCTGAACCAAACAGTATAGTACACACAAGTACAGTAAACACGCCAAGTCCTCATCCAAAACGAAAGAACTGGTGCTCAAATAAAAAAGAAGGAAAGAACAAACCCCCATGTGACAGATTGCATTGTAAAAAACTGCTGTGTTGCATTGCAAGCTCCAATATTAATCTTTCTGATTTTGTCTAAAACGATGAAACACTTCACAGAACTACAATGTCCTTTCTTTCTTTCTTTTAACACACCTTGTGTTACCAGGCGCTCTGGTGTGTGTGTGTGTGTGTAAAAGGTTACAATGTCCTCGTTTACAAACATATGTTGTATCAAGTATTGACACTCTTTTAATTTGTGAGCATCTTAGGTGAACACTTGAGTTTGATCCATGCGAACAAGATAACACGAGCTGTTGTACAGATAAAAGGAGAACAGCCTGGGGCGCTCTGCAAGATCAATCCACAGGATGGCACCTGCTATCTTGCAGGGGTTGCCATCGCCAACCGACCAACCGCAGCTTCTTTGACAGGGAACCATCTGCATCTGGTGACGCGAGCGTGAAGAGAGGGCGGTAAACGGGAGGCCGGCCGAGCCTTTGGCAAAGGAGCGATGCACAGCGCTGCTGCTATTGGAGGCAAAAATGCCATGGCCTCAAAGCGAGTTTCGCCGGAGCACTCATTCCGGCCTTTTTCCCATAAATGGTGAAGCAAGACAAAGGGCGTGTTCGGCTGGCTTAAAGCCAGCCGGCTGGCTTGTTCCGCCACTCACGAAATCACTGTTCATGTTCTGTCATAACAGTATTTTTCTCTCACAACAATCAGCTAGAACAGTATTTTTCAGTCCTGCCGAACAGGCCCAAACCTGATGCACTGTACATGTACCCATCGATCTCTCCGTTGCTTCCTCCGCAATTAACTTCTTTATTCTTGCCTTCGCCTTATCGGCTTCACCGGAATGGCAGTGCCCACACTAGATAACTACCAAGTCTGTCCATGTGCAACATTTCATTGAACGTATTGGATAAATGTTATCCAAATGGAAAGGAAGATGGATAAACAAAGCGGGACGCCTCACTCTAGTAACTTCAGTCATCTACTCCATGCCAACCTACCACCTCACAGTGTCTCTCTTGGCGGCATGGGCTAAGAGCAAGATTGACAAAATCAAGAGATCTTTCTGGTGAAAGGGGAGGAGAATGCCAATGGTGGACACTGTCTGATTAACTGGCCAATAGTTACCAGATCGAAAGACCTTGGTGGCTTAGGCGTGCCTGACCTTGATAGATTTGGGAGAGCCCTCCAGTTGCGCTGGCTTTGGTAAGAATGGGTGGAGGACTCCAAGCCTTGGATTGGCTCAGAGCTTCCATGTACTGATGTTGATGGTCTCCTCTTCAACTCCTCAATCAACATAACTTTGGGGGATGGTGTAAAGACTCAGTTTTGGCACTATAACTGGCTTGAAGGAGAAGCTCCAAGGTACCTGGCCCGAATTTGTTTCGGCTTGTTTCAAGGAAAAATCGAACGGTGCAACAAGAACTTCGGAACAACAATTGGATGCGCTCACTAAGAAGGAAAATCACCTCAGCTATCCACATAGAGGAATTTGTGTCCCTTTAGATACGAATTCAGGACGTGCACCTGCAGCAGGGCGTTCAGGACTCCATCACCTGGCAATGGACCCAGGATGGGACTTACTCCACCCGCTCAGCTTACAGAATTCAATTCAAAGGCTCGCTCGTCCTGTTCCGTACTGAACTCATTTGGAAAGCACAAGTGGAGAACGGATGCAAGATCTTCGTCTGGATTTTGGTGCAAGATAAAATTCTTACGGCGCACAACCTACAAAAGAGAGAGTGGCCACACCAAGAACACTGCATGCTGTGCAACGGTCCCTTGAAAACCGACCTCCACCTATGTCTATGTTGCCCTTTTGCTAAGGCGGTTTAGGATCAAATCATCTCTTGAGAAAACTTCACTCAGCTGCAACAACAACCCCAGCCAGACCCCATCCATATCAAAGCATGGTGGGAAGAGACGGCAAGGAAAGTGCTGAAATCTGAACGTAGACGACTAAACGGGGTAGTAATCTACACCTTTTGGAATATTTGGATAGAGAGAAGTAGGAGAATTTTCAACAACGAGATAGAAACGGTGCCGCAAGTAGCCGCAAGGATAAAGGAAGACATAAAGCAAAAGAAGATAGCAATCGCTTATGTTTAGCTGTTGTTTCCCCTTGGAGGGGTGTTTCCCTCTTATTCCTGCTTCGGGAGGCTTTAAACCCTCATCTGGAGTGTCTTTGCTTGTACATAAATTCTCTTTCCCTATCTTAATTGAAAGGCAGAGCTCCTGCCACTGCGTTAAAAAAAAAACAGGAATGGCAATGCGTTGCTGGAAGCTGAGGCGAATTCTTTCTCTTCTTCCTTTTTTTTATTCCACCGGAGTTTCACCGGAGCCTGAAAGGACAGAAACACACACACACTGATGGTGTATCGAGATGGTATACTTTCAAGACAGGGACAGATGGAAAATACTGCTTGAAAATTCATCTAATTCAGGACCATGTGAATGGTATCATGGTATGAGAAGAGAGTCCATCGTAAATTAGACTCAGGGTCGTACATAATTACCAGCAGAAAGATCCCCGTTTGTCACTGGGGTAGCGGGGTGTAAACGCTGCAGATCATTCAGTCTGGAAAAAACAGGTAGATAACTACAATATCATCATGTGTAAAAACATAAAATCATATCAGTGTGGAACTGTGGACTACCCTGCATGGTGCTAGAAGAATTTATCGCTGACCAACAGCAGGGAACTTGACGTCGAGCCATGTGGCAGCTCTGGACAAGCTGTTCCCCGCGACCAACAGCAGGGTTGGTAGAAGAGCGCTCTTCTCGGATGGCGGAGTAGGGTCACGCAGCCAGCAGTAGAGAAGCCCAGCTCTGTAGGTCGCTGCGGTGCTCTTTATTCGGTTGTTTACCATTTATGTAATATCGAAGTTTGTAACAGTCTGCTAGGAAGGTCCAGTGTAAGACCACGTGGCGTGCTCATTAGAAACGTGTCGTTTGTACGGTTAAACTCTTGTTCTTAATTATAATGATACGCAAATCTTTTGAGAAAAAAAAATTACCAGCCCGACAAGCTATGCCAAAGCTTCTGTATCATTTGCTGGAATTGTCTCCCAATTTCTTTTTCCAAAGTGTAATTCCTCTGACCATGAACGAAAGGAGAAGAGGAAAGAAATGCTACTCTGCTTTCAACTGTTGGGGCACATGCCTTGGTCATTTTACTGCTGAACATGTTGCCGGATGTCTCATACTAAGAAGATATCACGGGCAGAACAAATGGTTGCACAAGAGAGAAACACAGCCCATTAGACACGGGTTGATTTCACACCTCATCTGAGACATCTGTGACAGCGATGCCTGAGTTCAGTTAGGACCGACAATGGGACAGACAATGACATAAACAGCCTCTTTGCCCTCAAAAAACAACAAAACAGAGGAGTCCCTTTTCTGCAGATATGGCTCAAGATCACTAGAAAGATTAAAAGTTCATGAGATTATATGCCTGATTCTTCCTTGAGCCATTAACGTGACCATATGTCGAGGTTCAGACGTTCAGCCAGTCAACAAGATAAAGTTAAGATAGCAAAGGTCATACATTTAGCAAATATTCTGGATTGCACTTTCACTATTGTTATAGTACAACAGATAAACAAAACAATAAAGGACTTTATTAGGTTAAGAAAAGATGAATCAAGGTGCAGAAAGATATTTGGTCTAAGTAATCATTTTACTTTACATATATTTCCATATGAATATGGTCAATTCGCTGCCATTGTTCACTCAAAGGAAAAGAACTGCACACATTTCAGTTCCAAAATAAAAGGAGTCCTGCACACAAGTAAGTTCAAATGTCCAGTCCAGGTAATAAGAATGTGAATGCAACTGGCTTTAATCCAGCATGGGCATTTTGGACAATCTCAAAGGTTCTGCTAATCTAAAACACGCGTGAAAAAGTTTGCACAATCCCTGGCTTCTGTCTATGTCTATATAAGACAGCTACAGTGCTTTCAGAAACCTTACAGACTCAGATTGGGTAGGACATTTGGAGTGTTCTTCAGGTCCCTCCATTATGATCTCTTGGCCAACCATCTACCATGTTCTTGAAGAAACAGTGCCCTTGTATGTAGCTATGATAGTGGCCTACCTATCCATACAATGGTGGAAGCTATTCACCCCAGAGCAGTGCTCTGGTATCAACAAGTTTGTGGCGAAGTTTTCCATTCCTTTACTCTCTTTCCAGATCCTCTCTACAAACAACCCTTACAACATGAACCTAAAGCTCATATTCTCAGATATCCTACAGAAATCGCTCTCCTTGCTGGGGTTTGCAGTTATCTCTAAAGTATGTTGCGAGGAGAAGTTTGATTGGCTGATTACAGGTTTTTCTTTATCAACACTGCCAAATACCTTAATTGTTGGAATCCCGTTGCTGAAAGGAATGTATGGTGATGAAGCTGTGAAGCTGCTAAGTCAGATAGTTGCCTTACAAAGCCTAATTTGGTACACAATTCTGTTGTTTCTGTTCGAGTTTCGGGCTGCTAGAGGAATGGCCATCACAACATCATCTGAACCTACAAGTAAGAACCTCCTCAGTCCTCACTGCATTTTTGAAGATTGACATCTGGATTTGCTTCTGCTCTACAGTTTGAATTACTTAAAATTATTCACGTGTTATTCAAGTTTGGCAGGCATATGATTTAAAAGATTTTTTTTGTATCCCTACAGTAATTCCCTTTTTTGTGTTAATCTCAATATGGTACAAAATTAAACAGGTTATACTGATCAACATTGGTCTGAAGATGTTAAGATCTTTTTTTCGAAAGCGTGCATTAGCACGTGCTTCATTAAGAACTAGATCTCATTACTTCTCTTGTTCCTTCTGTGAGAACTAGATCTTACTAATTCAAATAAATGAAGCAGAGTAGCTGACCAAATGATTAGTGCTGCTGAATGAAAATAACCATCCTAAGATGATACATGATTCAATTCAGAGATGTTCTAGCAGGCGACTGCGTTCTTCCAAATATACCATAACCAAGCAGTGAGCACGTAGCTAGTAATATGACATTGCCTGTCTCGGGCAGAAGTAAATGTTCATTTGTAAAGTGAAATACTATTCTAGCTGCATAAGTACTATCTGTGTACGCTGAAACTATAATATGATGAAAACACATGGAGCTCTCCTTCATTTATTTACTCAAAAGAGAATAGGCAGGAAAGTCCACCTATTTGATTGTACAGAAGAAGTTTAAAGAAAACAGGCAGGAGGGGGTGCCTATCTGCAGCCAGAAGCCACCTTCATAGAACAGTTCATAATTTTGCAGTTATTGTACCTATTATACATTTACATGTCAGATTGAAAAACTCTCTCAAAACAGTTTCAGATAGAGAAGGGGCATTGTGAAGCAATACAGGCCACAAAAAATGGCCATGAAAATATCATTACGTCTAGTGATTTATTAGAGTAATATACTTAAGACCTGTAGACTGTAATAGAGCTCATATTTTATTCAATAGTATGTGTCTTAAACATTGTGCAGACTTTTCTCAATTATCCCATGCTTAAATGTATATTTTGTACTTTTGGTGTGCACCTATAAAGCAAGTAGTTCAACCTATCTTCTGAGGTTTTAACTTAATGACAGAATTAGTTGAACAATACTTATCCCACGTCATGTTTCAAAGATGAAGCAGAATCAGGCACTCTGGAACCTATGCAGCAAGGACACGAAGAGGGACAAGCTAAAGGAGTATCGGCAAAATGTTATGGTGCTTTTCACTTTTTATTGGTGGTCGGTAGGAAGCTAGTGACAAATCCCAACATGTATGCAAGCCTAATCGGCCTAATCTGGGCTCTAGTCAGCTTCAGGTATGAACACGACTTTATGAACTGAGTTTACGGTAGCTGTCAATTTGGGATGCAGAAAGTCATCTCGTGCTATCTACGGCATACCATAATCCTGCAGGTGGCGAATACAGTTACCATCGATTGTCAACAATTCCATAAGAATACTTTCAGATGGAGGGCTAGGGATGGCAATGTTCAGCTTAGGTGTGAATTTGTTGCAGACTACAAGTAACATATATGCAGATAAATTTAGGCCATCTGACTATTTCTATTGCAGGCCTTTTCATTGCCCTACAAACTAAAATTGTGGCCTGTGGAACCAAAAAGATGCTACTATCACTAGGCATCAGATTCTTCCTAGGACCAGCCCTGATGGTGATCTCTTCCTATGCAATCGGGATGCGCGGAACTCTGCTGAAGGTGGCCATAATTCAGGTAAATTCTAGTACTTTTCATTTGCATCGACCATTCTAGTTGACAAGAACAGTGGGGAATTCAAAGATAAACATGATGCTTGACTTGCCAAAACTCTGAGCAGGCTGCTCTACCTCAAGGAATAGTCCCATTTGTGTTTGCCAAAGAGTATAATGTGCATGCAGATATTCTGAGCACTGCGTGAGTACATCTTACTCCTATGCATATATTTGATTATTAAGAAGCTATACGTGGTGAGACAACTAACGGAGATCTCTCTCATCCGGCAGGATAATTCTCGGAATGATGGTTGCGGTTCCGGTGGCCCTGGGTTACTACTTTGTCATGGATCATCCCAGACTCTAACCACCCCGCATCTGCAGAAAGGATTAGAGATTCAGATATTTTTCATATCGCTGACGTGTATATTTTTGTGGAGGCTGTATATACCTGCGTGTTTGGATTCGTGTTAGTTGACCCAAGCTAATGATAACAACCAGCTTGGATCCGTGAATTCTTTGGCTAGTACTTAATAATTAATAGTAAATGCAAAAGAAGGAAGAGGGACGCGCGGAACATTCACCTTCCATGCCGTGTTCATCACATGCATTCTGTCGAGCAGATGGCGCGCCTGCTCTTGAGTCCTGAATCTCTATTGCTAGCAGCCTTGCGCCCTACCCTGCGCTGCATTCGGGCTCTCTCTAGATCAGCTTGGCGCCTTGGCATGATCACAGTACCTGGAGCGTGTGCTCTTTCTGCGTTCACATTACCTGCATTGCACACTCTGAACGCCGAATTCGTTCAGAGCTGACGCACAGCAATGGTCAGTTTTTTTTTTTTTTGAGTGGAACAGCAATGGTCAGATGGAATCATGGAAGAAGAAAAAAATACACTGAAGAAGCCTCCGAAGCCTAGGATGCACACACCTTGGCCCAGAGAACTTCAAGGCCCAGTTGTTATCCGGGCTCGCGGTGATATCTATATTTTTTTGTTCCAGTACATCCTTTGTATTTTCTAGCAGTTTAGAATTTTTGTTTCTAGCCTGCTATACGAAAATGTACGGTTGCCGTGCATATTTTCTTCTCATATTTTTTGCAGCCTTGCAAGCATGTTAGTTGAAATTTTTAAATCTACATTTTATACTAGTGTATGTTGTTATTGGTCATTCATTTACATCATTACATGTGCAAAAGTTTTATCTCTAAGCAATGTTATCCTAAACACTAAATGGTAAACAATCATTCGCCCTTCGTTTAGCGTTTAGTCCATTTACACGGTGTTTAAACGGAGTTAAACGGTTTTACACAATATTACCAAAATTTGCATATTTATTGATGTGAAATCAATTATTCTAGCATTTATACATATTTATGCAATTAAAAATCAATTATTTTAGTATGTATATACATTTATGCATGTAAAAAGAATTCAAATATACATATTTATACATGTAAGAAATCAAATATACATATTTATAAATATAATAAACTTAAGTATACAGATTTATGCATGTAAACTTAACTGCATTTACCCAGTGTTGGCCTAAACTGTCGTTTAGCCCATTTAAAACTGTTTACCTACGTTCCATTTAGGGCATTTAGACCATTTACTCCTTTTTTTTGACCGTTTAAACAGTCAACAGTTTAATTTTCAAAAACACTCCAAACAAAATAGTTTGCCACCGTTTACGTCTCTAGGAAAGAGAAGATACATAAAGATATTGATCTTTCTCAAAACCGTGCGGTCAGCAACCGCTTTAGTCTTCAGAGTGTAGTGGCTACAAATAAAAGATACATGAAATCCAATTTCAAAGTTGTGTTTGCCAAAAGAGGGAAAAATGAAAAGAAAGAGACGAGAAAATAAAATTTGAAAGATACGGATAACATGAAGTCTCACTAGCTGGTTTTAGATGTTGAGAACTGAATCAGCAAACGAGAATGTGATCAAGTTCATCTGCCTAAGAATCTCACTTCGTTGGCATCTTGTCTAAAGCAGTATCTTCGCCTTCACAGTTATCTTCTCAATGTGTTAAAGTTTGGTTCGTCCGATATATCATTTCTGCCTACAAGTTGTCAACTATGAATGTAGAATCACCAAAAGTCATGTTGTGGGGTGGTAAAATACATCTCTGACCCATGATGACAATTCAAAATTTATTTCACACATATATACAGTTGTGCTTGATCTTACATAGCTCCAAAATAGTGGACGAAGCTAAATTAATGGACAATGTGCTTGATCTTACATAGCTCCACCCATCGGCCCTATTCGGCTTTCCCCATATTCGGCTTGTTCGGCTCATTTTTTCAGCCGGAACAGTGTTTTTCTCTCACAACAATTCAGCCAGAACAGTATTTACAATTCAGCGAGAACAGTATTTTTCAGCCAGTTTTAGCCAAGATTCAGCAAGCCGAACGGGACCCTTCCGGTACGGCAAGTGCTTCTGGATATATTGAATGTTCAATGGTACTCCTATTAGATAATCCTTTCGGTACGGCAAGTGCTTCCATAGCTACGATCGGCGGCGGCAGCAGCAGCCGCCTCCGCTAGCTGACCATTCTGACGTGCATCTCCTAGCATTCGTTTGGAAAAGGCGGATTGCTCAAGCAATTTCAGATTTAGTTCAAATGTGAACTGAATCCTAGGGATCTGGATCTCAACCTGCACAATCCAAACATTCTTTAAGAGCTATACTGGGTACCTGTTTAGTCTTTTAGCAGTTACTAGATGAAATAAATTGAATGAGATGTTTATTAGCCAAGTCAAAATCAAGAATATATCAATTTAATTTTTCACGTGTATTATACCATGATAATGTCTAGAAACACATTCATTATCGTAATGAATCTGAAATAAAAGATAGGCTTGGAGCTTGTTGTCTGAAAGTTACGACAAACATCAATTGCCTCAAAGGCTGAAAATTTATTGCTATGCATCGAATTGAATTTATCCATGCTCTACCTTGCCAAAACATGTATACTCGGACTTACAATATCCTAGCCCGCATGAGGCATGACAATAATTCATTTTTTGGGAAAAAAAAATTTGTTGTCAACACGCAACGCGAAGAACGATGAACGAGATTTGGATCACGATCATGATCATTGCGTTGTGATATTCCAATAAATTTCTTTCTCTTCTCATAATTCTCTTTCCGTTTTATTCCATTTTATTTACTTGCCTTCCAGTGTCTCCATGCGGTGATTATTTGCCTACCGGTGATTCCGTGAGTTTTATTCCATTTTATTTACTTGCCTTCCCATGTCTCCATGCGGTGATTATTTGCCTGTCGAATATGAATCGCATGAGTGTTTTGGTCCTGCCGGGTAGACGTTGACAATCCGTATGTTTTAGTTGTAGAGATAAGAGCTATACTGGGTACCTGTTTAGTCTTTTAGCAGTTATACGCCACATGCAGCCCGCCAAGTCTATGAAGCCACCTCCCAGATTTTGTAATCTTGACCCTCAGCAGCAACAATCCAGTTCTGGGGACCATTTGGCTCAAAATGTTCCGATCCAATTTTCATTGTTAGCTTCTCATCAATTTCAGCCGCATATAAACTCCTGTCTGCCTTTAGTATCTTGATCTGTAAGTGTTATATCACATGGCAAACAATTCAAGCGTAAGACATATGAAAATAGGACAAAAGGGGGAAGCAACAGTTGTTTAGTTGCATTTTACCTTGCTGCGGCAATGAATCTTTAGACGTCGTCGGATGGAAATAAATTTGGCAATCTCTGGTTGTAAGTGTGAAAATATGTGATCATAGAAGACTGCAGGAGTGCCGGGGTGTGTCAGGATGTAGGCGTATCCTTGCAATTCCATACCATAGGGGAACCTCCAATGACCCTACAGAGATGCCAGAAACAGTGTGAGGTTGATGCTTTCTGACAATTTCTGCATCACAAGTTTGATAAAGAATCAAGAGAGACTTCAAGATTTCAAAGAGTTTAACGATGACGCTGAGAAACATTTATTTCTTTTAGAACTAGAAATACCCAATATTGAATCAATAAGGAGCAAGCATCCAAAGTCTTACCATTATTGAGAATAAATGCACCAGAACAATCAGGCTATTCAACATGCAGGTCTATACATTTCTTGCTACTTGAATGCAAATACAACTAGAAATATGGCAACTTGCAGAGTGCTGAGAAATGGCAGTTTTGAGATAATATGGCACAATTCTATCTGGATACATTGTGATACTGAGTTGTACCTGAGTAGAACCAGTATCATGATTCTCTATAAATGTGACTGCTCTTGAAGGCCACCAACCCAATACTCCAGGGGGTTTCCCTTTTTCATCGGACAAGCGCCAATACTCTGATCTTTCAAGCGCCTGTGTAGGAAAAGACATACTCCATATTACACATGCAGGGAAAAATACGCAATAAACATTAAATGTAAGTGCACAAAATCAAACCACTATAATGCAATAGCATCATTCCCAAAAGATTAAAAAGGCTGGTCATTCCTTTCTTAGATGAGTTGGTCTTACAAGCAAACCACTTCACAACAGATAATCAACATTCAGGGCCATCAGACTGTTAGCTATGCAAGATAAAAATTAAAGTCAACCGATGGAACAATTATTTCATATGTCGCATCTGGCATAACAGTTGTAACAGCATTACATGCTTGTAGAGAAGTATTGAAGCGTGGATTATAAAATTAAAGTACCCTCCTCATAAATAAAAAAGTTAAAAGACATGATGTTATGACCTAATCAAATACACATGTATCCTGCTTTATAATATATAAAGCATTCCAGATGATTACTATAATACTGGCCAAGGAATTTGGAGCTACCCACATCACCCAAAAGCCAGATTCAATTTTCCGGTAGATAGGAGGTGAAAATCTTTGAGGGTTCCAGGTACCAGAACAAGTGAGCCCTATGAGAAAGTGCAATTTTGAGCTGTTGCTTAAATGATGTTTTGAGCTCTTGTCACCAATTAGACATTACTTGAAGTTTGAAACAGAAATGAAATGTTACTACCAGGATTGTTTTGAACTCTTGCTGCTAATTAGATGCTACTGGAACATTGAAGCAGAAATGAAGTGTACTGGCTCCCAGCCAGGGTCCACAACTTTTTAGAACACTTTGAACTCGGCCCAAAAGAACTGCCATAGAACATTTTTATTTAAAAACTGTAAGATGCAATCGTACCGCATGAAGTATTCCTTTAGTGGTAACATCAAATGCGCCAGCAGTTCCATTTGTAGCATTTATCCAATCAACAATTCTCTGTCTGTGGGCATCCTGATTGTAGTCCATTTCACCATAAGTATAACTGAGGGAGTCCCAGTACTCTCCTACTGCAAAGTATGGTTCACTTGCTTCCAAATAGTCTTTGACATATCCACCCCAGAAACCACGAACAAAGTCAAGTCTCCATCCGTCGTAGCCGACTTCCTTTCTGCAAGCAGAACATGCATGAATAAACACATGCTATGCTGACATTTTGTGTAACACTCGAGTCCATTAATATACAACTTACAACCCAATTCATCCCGTCCAGCTATGAAACATATAGGAAAAATTCCTCACATGCCATTGGGTAAACTTAAATCACTCATATGCTGGGAGCCCACATGTCAAGGACACATCAATGGTTTACGAGAGATTGTGCTTTCTCGGTTGCATATAAGGAAATTCCCCAGACATATACTAACAACATTAGAACCTGTAAGCTACGGCCCCCATATTAGAGTACCACATGTCTTGCTCCCAAAGAAAATAATAGATAATGTGGGTGTGTGTTGTAAGGGTTCTGGACCCTCTTTCTTCTTAATATTAAAGATACGCAGCTCTCCTGTGTGTTTGAGGAAAAAAAGAAGATACATAATTCCTATTCATCAAGGACTGCTACTGACATTTAGAGGGAAAATCCATATATATACCTATTTCCAATTGGGAATGAAACTAAAATGTCCCACTGGCTGAGGCACTTTACTAAAAATGCAAGCACAACACAATCACATAAATTTACCGGATCTCCTAACAAAATTACTTTTCAAGGCAAGCTAAACTGACAATATTTTGCAGAGTTCTTAGTGCACCTTCCGTCCATGACCATTTGATGTAGGAGTTAAGCAGAGCAGCTGACTCAAGCACACATATTTTTCTACTATTTAAAAAACATATATTTTCTACCCAAATATTAAGAAAAAAACTGGTAGTAAACTGATGACAATTTGCAGGGTTTCTATTGTACCGTCCATTCATTCCAATTTGTTACAGGAGCTAAGCTGGGGACAGTGTATATCATATGCATTAACAAAAAATATTCCAGCTTTCAAAAGAAAATCATTCCTATCTCAAACTCCAAGATACAAGCTGAGTCCACAAACCATAGAGGCACGTGGAACTATACGGATGCTGCATCAAGGACATTTCCATAATGCATGAAGTGCAACAAAAAAAAAAAAAAAAAAAAAAAAAAAAAAAAAACTAGACCAACCTAGGAGGAACTTCAACCTGGGTGGTCTGGGCATACATACACCACCCTCGACCAACTGAGCTAGCTCAGCTTCCTAGTGCAACGAACAATGAAGCATGAGCAATGGCAAAAAGCTATCACCGAGAATGACAGAATAACTGACCTCATCCAGCAAAGCCATTCTTTAAGATCATTCCTCACAAACTCTTGGGAGTGATCAATGTTTGGTGCTGCATGGAAATTATCTCCACTGCTCTTGTTTCCTCTTCCCTGCAGGAACAAGAGTTTTACCCCAACATAAAATGGAAATATTATATTATCATAATTTCTAAGTGCAATAAAATGGAAAGGAATGGGAGTACTAAGCTGAACATGTTTGTTTATGCAACTTAGTATGGGTGTTAATCTGAACATTTGCTGTTAATACTAAATATATGCAAGTACAAAGGTTCAACAAGTCCAATTAGAGTTATATATTGGTGAATCGAAACTAGTTTATGTGAAGGAACAAATGGACCAATTGTATGTGTTCATGTTGCTAGAAATTACTGCTGGGCCAATGGACCAATAAGAGAATAAATTTTAGAGTTAAGTAGGGAGTTGACAGGGATTGCATCTAATGCACCTGTGAATTTGTAATACCTATGGGCTATGGTGTACTATAATATCAGCTTGACTGTATCCAAGGTTCATGTTCACTGGATGCCTAATGTTAAATTCTAGGTTCACTGAGTTCAAGTGGGAATTTAACCATATGTTTAATAACCATACTGGTAGTTCAACTAGTGAGTTACCCATTTCATTGGATAGATAGTCAGACCATCAGTTTGGGAAAGAAAATAGTAAATTTAATACTCCCTCCGTTTCAAATTATAAGACGTTTTGGCATTTCTAGATACATAACTTTTTCTATGTACTTAGATATACACTATGTCTAGATACATAGTAAAAGCAAAGTATCTAGAAAAGCCAAAACGTCTTATAATTTGGAACTGAGGGAGTATTAGCCAAAAGGGTGGCAAAAAAAAATCATGGGAGCCTTAATTTGCATACAAATCTAACAGACATCCACTGCCTAGCTTGGTGTTTGGCTGTACAGAGCAGTAGGGCACTTCCTTAGTTCCTTCACCTAATTACATGTCCCATCTTTGAACATGTGTACAGTCCTGGACTAGTGTTGCTTGTGCAGTGTGAAACCAGCATGTTCAAATGTGTTTACACCCAATGAGAGAAAATTAGTATGAACAGTTTTGAGACCTAATCAGTTTTTTTACCTTCTTTCCCGGCAAAACTACTGATCTAGTACAGTTTCTTAAAACTGTTTTAACCTACCATTGAATTTTTTTATATGTCCACTGACAATCATATGCTAAGCCCTCTAAATAAATATATTTTAGAAAAGAAAAGCAGATACCTGGAAATGTGGATCATCAGCAACAACTGCTCGATCATCCCAGTTCATACGACCACCAAAAATATTCCAGACACCATTGTTGTTCTGAAACTGAGCACACCTATGATTTAGAACAGCATCACCAAGAACCTTGATGCCAGCTTCATGGAAAATCTTCACAAGTTCCTTCAGCTCATCCATGGACCCATATCTGAAATGTTGGTTTATCTTATTAACGAATGACATCAGCTTGTAAGATGGTTTAATAATATATACTTAATAACAAACTGGATTTCTTAAGTCTCACACAATTACTTCTGAAGATCATAGACTTCTATGCAAGTTAAATATAAAAATGTCAAGCATTTTCCAAGGTCAGACGGAGTCTAGTAAATTGAGCAATTGATGGCAGGACCAAAGCAAGTTTATTGTCCCCAACTGCAAACATGCTTCTATACAGAAAATTAGTAGCAAAACCTTCAGAACTCTACACACCAGAGATAGAGTGTTTAGCCCCTAGGCAGTCTTCACAAAATGCCCAAAAGTTTTCTAGAGTCTAGACCAAGCGAATGAAAAAGGTTATGGAACATCAATGGTCTGTAGCTATATATTCCCCAAACTTCTAGCCAGAATGAATAAATAATAATCCCCACAGGAAACAATATCATGTCAGTTTTTGCACTTAACTAAGGAAGAAACTATGGTTTTGCATAGTCAGTATGGTTTCACATATTCAGTATGTCAAATAGCCACGAGTTTCTAGCTTGGACAATAACAAATGCATTATAGGCTATTGCACTGAGAACTAAAAAACCGTATCTACATGATGACTTCAAGTGTCAAGTATCAACAATTTGTATGTTGCACAGAACTGCAGTTGGATGCGATAGGTGAGTTTTGTTAAATTCAATTTACTTATTAGGACCAAGCTCAAATCAAGAGAAGGTGGCTCTTGCACATTTATACACTAAAACCAGTATATGGGATCTCAAAGGAGGTGTTTTCTTATAAAAGATAAACAGATGAGGACAGAAGTGCTATAACATATGTTCAATGGATGATTTTGCATGTAAAAACTATACCGGGAGTTTAGATTATATAGATCCCTTGGCATGTATCCTTCAGGTGACACAGAATCAGTTGGTGGTGGTGACCAGACAATAGTGAAACCCAGGGACGACAAGTCCTTGGCCTTTCTACCAAGCTCAACATAACATTTCCCTGACTTATGAGATTCCCAGTTAAATCCTTGGCACAATATCTCAAAACCAGATCCAGTGCCAGAACATGCTGGCTTTGCGCTTAATGTGTCATCGAGGTGTACAGACTCATCTACAGAATCAATGGTGGGGCTCCTGAAAATGCTATAAGCTACTGCTGCAAGCCTTTCGATTTCTTGTAGGATGTCTTCTTGAAGAACTTTATTCTTAGCTTTTTGACCTCTTCTAGACGATAGGCCAACCACCAGATTTCTTATATCACTGATTAAGCCATCAGCCTGTGAAGACTTATCCTCTACTTTCTGTGCCTCAGCCTTGTCGGGATCCTGAGTGCTACCATGCTGACCCACTCTTGTAAGTGGCACACAGAAATCAGATCCATTCTCAAGATTTCTCAACCAAGTATACTCATCAAGTTTGAGCACAAAAAACAGACAAGAATACTCTGCATCTAGTGAGAATGAAATTGAGTTTCCTGCTCCATCAGCTTTTTGCTGCAACAAGAGAGAAGATGTGTGAGGAGTGTTCTTTTTTTTTTGCGCATAGTGAGGAGTGTTAAACTGATTTCAAATCAGATCAAGTCACTGAATCATCAAAAATAAATACATAAAACTCTACAAAATGGAAAACACAACAAGAGAACATATCAAAAGATCAAAAAGAAAACTTGCATGGAGCATTCAGGTGTACATTTTGTTGAGAGATGACCACTTGTAAGGAGCTGATCCTCAGTTAACCAAAAAAAACCGTCCTAGGAAGGCACCCAAATGAATGCAGGACGCACACAAATAAGGAAGAGTTGTACAAACACACAACTGTTAAATGTTTATTAAATGTAAGTTTCAAATTCCTACGCATTTTAAAATTTACCTAAGGATTTAAACAACATACGGTCCCTCACAAATTTCATGGGGAAAAAGACTAAATCATTATGTTCTTCCTAGTAAAGGGGGCCATAAATAACTGAGGAAACAAAAGAAATAGGCAAAGTAATGTTAAGGTGCAAATTTTCTTTATAAGATAGAAGACTCAAGCTTGTGGTGAGGAAGGCTAAAATGAATCAAGTTTTGGATTAGAGATTCATATAATTCAAAAGTACAAGTGGTATGGCTTCTTTGGAGTAAAGTTGAAATCATAAAGCCCAAAAAATACAAGTAGGCTTCATGTAATCCCAATTCAAAGCTCTGCTGCTTGTTAACTATTATCAAGTCAAGTTACTAGTACATTTTGTTTTCTTTTATAGGCATTATATAAACTTGATGCAGTCCATTTGAGCCTTTGCCATCTACCATTCCAAGAGCTTAACTTCAAGGTCATACCTGTAGCAAGGTCTGAAGAGCTTTCTGTCGGAAGATTTTCGTTGTCGGTGGATGTGGTTCTGGTGGGATCTCCCATGTCATATTATTGTCTTTGCAAACTCCCCAATGAATGACAACATCGCCAGGAATATCAGTGTCAAATACCACAAGTCTTTTATGTGTTTTAATGTCTCTCCTCACAGTGACAGTAACAAGATTCTGAACATACTCTGATTTTAGGATGGGGTATTCTTCATAGAACCCTGATATATGTTTGCCACTCAAACCTGTATCCTGAGGTGAAGTGTTTTGTGGCTGAGAACTAGATCCTTCATATTTCTTCAATGCATGCCCCAAATCACCTGAGAATTAAGACAGACATATTACAAAACTTTCCTAAAGGCACAAAGGAATTCTTAAACTTTTTAGAACAGATATCATGTAATTCCATGAGTTTGCTTCTTAATATAATGATACGCAGTTCTATGTGTTCGAGAAAAAAAAAGTAATTTCATAAGAATGCTAGAGTTATGACTTGAGGAGCAAAACAAGTTCACCGGTGTACACAACGCTAGTTCCCAGGGAAACAAAAGGCAGAACAACAAATTTACATGTTGGAAACTTTTTAACAGTATCTTGATATATAATTGCTCAGAAGTGCATTGGTTTGTGGATTTGTACTACTGCAATCCAAAGCTTGCATCTTTCTATTCTATAAACTCAGAGACGAATTAGATGCTATAATGTATAATCTTTCTTAAAAGAAACCGATGCTCTAACATGGAGCATGCATTTAGCGCATCATTGATGAAACATGCCATAAATATGAAATATTGAACAATGTAGAACATTGTAGAATGAAATAAATCGACAATGGAGCCCTATCGCCTATTCCTTTAAGATAACCAGCTACATTTCAAAATCTCCTGTGTAATAGTATATAATATTCCAAATTCCAAAATATCAGAATGTACACATCACTCAGGGGCAAGCACATCACTATGATCCAAAAAAATGTAATTGTTAATGAAATTCTTAACAACCTGGCCAGATATCAATATCTTGTTTTCCTCCACCATTGAAGGATCCATTTAAGGGTATTCTGAAATCCCTGCCCTTATGCTGAAACCATGCACCTGTTTCCTCTTCCTAGCAAAGCAACAATATCCGAGACATTCAAATTTTACCCCAAGTAAACAAACCCACAACGAAGAAAAAAAAAGTATATAAAGGAACATGGAGCAAGTGGTCAGTATTGCCTTTTTGTGTAGATATATATGTCATGTACTCAAGTTTACATGGTACCAATTTTTTTTTGGGACAACTACAGTGTTTGAAAAAAGAAATCCAGTTTAGGATCGTTTAGCTACTGTTTCAATTGGCACAACGTCAAAGCACCACATCATCTAGAAAATAATATAGGAAGCTATGCAATGGTGTAAAGTTGAAACCTTTAGAACAAAGTTGACAGCAGCGATTGGAATGTCTTTATCAAATTTGATTTGCACTTCATAAAGGAGCCGTCCTTCTGAATTGGGCAAAATCTCCAATGGTGTTTCAATTGCATAGTCCTGAAAAATCAGATATTGTCCAGCTATTGAAAGCTAAACGAGCAAATTTAATGGCTAAATGATAATTAAGAAAGGCATTAGCTTTTGATTATCTCAGATATCAATATAAACTTGGAGAATTTCTGCTTGAAAAAACATAAACTTGGAGGAGGTTCCTTGCATTTTTATATCATAGTGCAAGTGACAGATAGCTGCAAGCTATATGAAATGCTTGTAACAGTTTTCACAGGAGTAGAACCTTGATTGCAACTGAACCGGGTGGTCTCATTTCTAAAGGAGGCTGATCCCATTCTCTGCAAAAACATCGATAACACAGGATAAGATGAAATTAAACATGGTCTGAGAAAGGTACAATCTGTAGTAAAGAAAACAGTAACCAATTATTTCATTTCCTTCTCTAGGAAACAGAATGTGAATGCCTTATTTTTTCTAAAACAAGTTTAAATATGGGGAAAAAGAAACGACAAAAGGGTGGGCCTGGTGCAAACGGTAGAGTCTTACCGCCTGTGACCGGAAGGTCTCGGGTTCGAGTCGCGGTCTCCTAGCATTGCACGAGCGAGGGTAAGGCTTGCCATTAACACCCTTCCCCAGAACCCGCACAGAGCGGGAGCTCTCTGCACTGGGTACGCCCTTTTTTATGGGGAAAAAGAAACGACAAGTTATGCCAGATACGCCTCGGCAAATTCCTTCTTTAAGTAATGTACACAAAGTCGAGATACCAAGACAATTCCAAAGGAGTCCGAGCAAAAAAGGTACAGCAACTACTAATCTAAAATACAATAATGAAATCTTCTCCTTCAAAGTTGTCCTACATGCTATGAATCCAAGGCTCATGCTTAGAAGTTATTCCAAATTCCGAATAAAACAAACAAGATATTTAAGGTGCTTACAATTGGATTACGTAGGAACAGACCTAAACTGAAACCGCTCCAACGCCAACCCCTCAGCCAATACAACAACAACAACAAAGCCTTTAAGTCCCAAACAAGTTGGGGTAGGCTAGAGTTGAAACCAGCAGAAGCAATCAAGGTTCAGACACGTGAATAGTTGTTTTCCAAGCACTCCTATCTAAGGCTAAGTCTTTGGGTATATTCTATCATTTCAAGTCTCCTTTTATTGCCTCTACCCAAGTCAACTTCGGTCTTCCTCTACCTCTCTTCACGTTACTATCCTGGCTTAGGATTCCACTACGCACCGGTGCCTCTGGAGGTCTCCGTTGGACATGTCCAAACCATCTCAATCGGTGTTAGACAAGCTTTTCTTCAATTGGTGCTACCCCTAATCTATCACGTATATCATCGTTCCGAACTCGATCCCTTCTTGTATGACCGCAAATCCAATGCAACATACGCATTTCCGCGACACTTATCTGTTGAACATGTCGTCTTTTCGTAGGCCAACATTCTGCACCATAGGTCTAATCGCCGTCCTATAAAACTTGCCTTTTAGCTTCTGTGGTACCCTTTTGTCAAAAAAAAAATGATTGTAAAGTTTCGCGCCTTCCAGGTTAACATACAAGCAAACATCACACCCTGCCTGTTAATCATTTTTCAATTGAAGTGGTTCACGGCTTCCCCTAATGTACCCAAAACTAGATTAGAAATTGCTTCATCTGCCATTCCTCGGCCATTCAAGCATTGGAGCAGGAGCTACTTGGATACAGCAAGCCAGAACACAATGAAATGTGGGCACGCTTGCCTGTCTGATCCCACTGTTGATTCCATTTGTTGCACTTAATAATGCAAAAATCGGGGTTCGTGATCCACAGGTACCCATCGCCATGATGAAAATATAAAATAAAAGGGTGCAGAAGAAGATCAAATATTACCTTCCATGCTCATCATCGTACGAGACACCCCAGTGCAACACCCACTTCCCCGCCACATTACATCCGACAACGACCTTGCACTTGCCTTCGGCGTCCGGCTCCGCATCCACCCTCACCCACGCCTTCCCTTCCACCTGGGTTTCACCGCAGAACTGAAGCATCAGCAACACCCCCAGACCAGAAACGAAGAAATACACACGGACACCGTCTCAGCACAGATCACGCAGCGCGGCAGGGATAGAGGAAGCTACAGCTTGGCATCGGCGCAGGGGGAACGTCTCGGAGAACCCCGCTCCAGCGTCCTCGTCGGTGCCAGCCACCGGCGTCTCCGCGGCCCCGGCTCGGGCCACGACACGGCCGCCGAGCCTCACGCGCCCGTGCTGCGCGGCACGGCACCGCCCGGCCCGCGGCCGCGCGGCGGACACCTGCAAGAAGGCGCTCCCGAGCAGCCCGGCCCGAGCCGGCGGTGCCGCGCCCGGGATCGCACGAATGCACCAGCTCCCCACCGACATGGCTAGCTCTCTCTCTCTCTCTGAGAGTCCGGGTGAGTGCGTGACTCTGTGGTGTGCGTGTGAAGGAACGGAAGCGAATGAGGGAACGAGAACGGAAGAGGGGGAAGAAGGGGGAAAAGCGAGGCGAGATGAGTCGGAAATAAGGCCCCGCAAAAGGTGAGAGATACGTGGCAGGAAAGGCAAAAGGGTCGGCCGGGGAAGATTGTTTTGCGGGCCCACACGTCAGGGGCGATAGCCAGGGCCGTGGGGGAACCGCGAGGGTCCCGCGCAGGGCAAAAGTTATTTAGTTGGGTGGAAGAAATTTGGCTACCGCAGCATTTTCATTTTTATTTAGTAAAGAGTGTTTAATCATGGACTAATTAGACTCAAAATATTTGTCTCGTAATTTTCAACCAAACTGTGCAATTAGTTTTTTTTGTCTATATTTAATGCTCCATGCACGTATCGTAAAATTCGATGTGATAGCTACTGTAGCACTTTTTTAGAATTTAGGGTGAAAACTAAACACGCACTTAATTACTATTTTGGGATCCCGGGGCCTCGGTTAACGCTACTAATTAATTATTACCCTCTATATTACCGGAGATTGGAGAAGGCGTGTGGAAGACAAAAAGGGCCGGGCCGCGCCCGTGCGTGGGGTCAGTTCCTGGAGCCACGTGTCTTGTACTGGTACCGGCCGGATCGCTAACACTGATCCCGCTGTCGTTGCTCCGTGTGGCCGTGTGGGTGTGTGTGTGGCCTGTGGGCTGTGGCCGGCTGGCCGCTCGCCCGCTCCAGCCCGGCCGAGCCGAACGGGCGTGCGCCGTGCCCATCGCCCGACCGGGAGGAGGATCGTTACCAGACTTGACGAGCAACGACAGCCACAGAGCCCGACCGGGAGGAGGAGCACCACACTCCGCCGCCGGCCCGCCGCCCTCCCGCTACTCGTGGCAGACGGACCGACAGGCACGCGCCTCTCTTGTGGGATGCTACTACGGATAACGTGCGCCCAACCCGCGCCTTCCGCGGCGGCCCAGTTGAGGCTGCCTGGGCGTGCGCGGCCAGCGCCGCGTTTACGCCGACGCTGCGTCGCTGCTTCTGCGTCGGACGGCGCCGGCACTCCAAGCTCTCCGGTACAGTGAGCACAAAACTCCGCTTTGGTTTCGAAGTTCCTCTTTCTCCCGCAATTCCTGGAAGGTCTGACTGTTGGAGCCGTTTCGCCTTCTTGCTACCGCGGCAGCTCCACTGCAACCCTTTGGCCGACCTCCTGGGTCCGGACGTCGAACCCAGCGGCTCACGCTCACAGTACGTTTTTTTCCCCCTTTAGATTGACACTATGCCACTATGTGTGTTCAACTGCTCGTGCTGGTTAGGACGTTAGGTGATCGGAGAATTGTGAATTGAGATTATGGATGGGCCGTGCGCTGGTCTTGAAGATGGCACGCACAATTTGTGTATGATTAAACTGTCGAAAAATCACCCAAATTCGTCATTATACGATTTGTCGGAATAAGGATGTCTATTTGCACAGATAGAATGTACTTAAAACATGCTGCCTTCATTGTTCAACCTATCTATGTACTTGTTTTAATAGATTTATTATTAGGTGTGTCATGGTACAGTTTTTGCATAGAGTTGTGTCTCTAGTGAGGGATTGAAATGGCAGCAGAGTTTGGATATTTTTAGTGCATATCATCAAAGCCTTTATGATTGAGAGTTTGAAGTTTGTATCCATCTAGAAAAACTAGTGCAGGTTTTGACACTTTATTAGCTTTGATTTTTTCACTGCAGGAGTACAACTCCAATTACAGGGAAGGGAAAACTGAGGTCTTGGGTCGGTCCAAATGGGCAGTACTACCGTGAGCTGCCGTGCCCCAGCTGTAGGGGTAGAGGTTACACTCCATGCAAGGAGTGCGGAATAGATAGATCAAGTTTGGACTGCCCTATGTGCAATGGCAAGGTGAACCTTCCATATATCTTGTGAGTCATCATGGAGGAGAAAAATATAATCCTATACATGTAAATTTCGTGAACTTACAAATTTGTGCTATGCATTTGTATCAGGGGATTCGAATGTGTCTACAATGTAGTGGAGAGTGTGTGATATGGCAGGAATCTGTTGATGAACAGCCATGGGAGAAAGTTCGGTCAAGGTACCCTTTTCTACTATATTTGTTATGTTCACCTTGCCCCTTGTGATTTGCTGTTTCTCTCAGCAGATCGACTGCATATTGTTTCCCTGAAAATCTTCAAGCTTTAACTGAGACTGCATTATGGCTTTGAATTGTCAAACCCATCGGCATTCAAGTATTTTTAGTAACTTTTACTGATGACTGAAGTAACATTACATGATATGGTTCTTATACACGGCAAATTGAAAGATATACTTTTGGATTCCTGTGCATACATGTGTTCAAGAAAAATATTCCTGTGCATACATTGTCATATATCCTTTCTGTATTTGCAGTTCTCCTTTGAAAGTAAAAGAAGATGACGAAGTTGACAAGTTAGAGATAAATATCAACAACCCCAAAAGATCAAAGCGTACTTATGCATCACCTTCACCGGAAGTTGCCATGAAGATTAGCCGATCTTTAAGAGTAAGTAATATTTTCTACACATCTGTACACATGCGACTGTACCTTGACATCCATAATTTATATGGGTCTACAAAACTTATATGCACCACTAACACAGAAATACTTAAGTAAATCCCTGTACACCTGGTAACCTGATTACTAACAATGTAGCCCTGTTCCTTCTCTTTGATACTAAAACATTTCAGCTCTACGAACTTTCTTTGTAATTGTTTTTTTTTCTTGTGACTTTTAAATAGTCTTAAATATTAATTGCAGAGTCTAAATGCTCAAACAGGATTGTTTACTAAGCACATGAGGCTTATACACCAAGACCCCGAATTGCGTGCTCAAAGAGTTGCTGCAATCAAGGTAAGATGCCATGCAAAGTGTTTCATTGGTGTGTTCTTATTAAATGCAGTAGTTGATCTGGGCATGTTCGTTTTTCCCCAATGCTATTGAACATGAAGAGAACAAAAGGTACTGCTGCTGCAAGAAAGCGTGCTTCTGAAATTCAAAAGGCATTCTTCAGTGATCCTGAGAACCGGCTCAAGAGAAGCATTGCCATGAAAGGTTAATGATATATCTTACCTTTAACTCAGAAGACATCAAAATTAATTAAGTTTCACCCAGTTTGACTTCTAGCCAGCTAGAACGTACTTGTTGTCCTTACATTCTTAGTTAGCATTTGGCCTTGTACATATACTCCTTCCAGTATCAATAAGTGATGTTTTTATATTGGATGGTCCTCAAACTGTCTAGTATGGAGTTGCTGTATTAGCACCAGAATTACCCACAGTTTTACCTTATTGCCTTTTTTTTTCTTACTGGATTGTTTTAGTTTTCATCAAATTTATTGACTTGACATTTGATGAGCAACATTGCAACCTGATGCTTTGCAGGGGTGAAATTTTACTGCAGCAAATGTGGACAAGAAGGACATAGAAGCTTTTATTGCCCTACAGTGAGGAAAGGTTCAACCAGGCTGCAGTTCAGGTGCCGGTTGTGTGGCGGAGAAGGGCATAATAGTCGGACATGTGGAAAACCAAAGTCCGAGAAAGAGCACCAACAACGTCCTCGGCACTGCAGCCGATGCAGTGAAATGGGACACAACCGGCGTAACTGCCCCTCATCCACTGATGTGGGCATTGGTGCTTCAGGCTATGTGGTTAACAAAGTTAATAGTTCTAACTCAGCTGTTTATTCATGTAGTCTCTGCTTAGAAAAGGGGCATAACAGACGAACATGCCCAAAAAGAAAGGCTACCTCAGTAAAATGAAAAGTGTGAGTTGTTAAAATTGCATACTAATCGAGAGCAATCATGTGAAAGACCTGCTATATATTAGTTTCCCACACACCCTGTCAGTGCAGTTGCCTAATAAAATTTTCCACAAAGATGAGGACAAATGTTTTTTTGGATTTGGCGGTTGAAAGAAACGGAAACAATTTTCTAAACTGACATAAAAATGTTAAAAATGTATTCTGAATATGAACCAAACTTTCTTTTCCTAGAACAGTGGAATGTAGAAATCAAATGTCGTCAAGTGATGAAAAGGAAACCTGTTCTACAGAAATAGCATTTAACTTGTTTGGTATTTTGTCTTCATTGCATAATTTGAGCCATCGCCATAACTCTGGCATGTTTGCAATGCTACTCTAAAGTCATCCTTTGACTATTGTTAAATGACACTCTCTTAAACCCCATGTTATCACTGACCTCCAGTATGCGGGAACAAACCTAACTTGTCTGGACTACCTCCATTGAAGAAGCTATCATATTCATTAGCTTGTGACTTAGAAACATGCTCTGTGATGTTCCCTCCTGTTCTGTCGGTGGCATCTGAATTCTCTTTGAACTTACTGCCAGAACACAGATGATTTTAATACCAGATAAAAACGGGTAGACACCCGGTCGCAAAAAAAAATACCAGACTGAGACACTGAGCGCAGTCGAGAAGGGTGCTCTTGTCCCCGAGCAATTTGGATAGGCAGTCATAGTGACCTCATTATCTTGTGTTACATTATGATCTAAGATAAGCGCTCTGTTCGCTTGGCTTATAAGCCGTACTTTTTCAGCCAACGAACATTATTTTTCTCTCACAATAAATCAGTCAACAATACTTTCAGCCATGGCTTATCAGCCCAGCGAACAGGGCACGGTCGTTCTGAGAGGACATAGGGCGTGTTCGCTGGTCTGGTCCGGACCAGCCGGCTGATCCCCCTCAGCAAACACTATTCATCAATCAGCCGTTATAGTATTTTTCTCTTATAAAACCAGTCAGTTTTAGACCAGCGAACGGGGCCATACGTGTTTGTCTGTCTGTCAGCAGAAGCTGGCACTGAAAGAGCTCAGCAATTGTAGAAGCGCTTGATTAGGCCTCTATGCCCTGTTGCAGCAACGTCATGTGCACTTGCAGCTTCTTCCTGTCTGCATGTAGAAATTTT